AGAAAGCACAACATTTTCCCTCTTCTGTAAAGAAATAGGACATATTTCCAACAATCATTATGTGACCAAATCATTTAATTTCAGTGAAAACAATTCAATCACAAATGCTTTTGAAAACATATCGCATTGCTATACAGAATGAAACAACAGAAAATATTTGAAGTGCTTTACTTAGTAGGAAAATGTAGTCTAGAACTGTGTTCTACACCATAAATGCATACACTAATATTAGTCACAACCTTAAACTAGACATTAGTAAAAGAAATGTGAACTCTTTCAATAAAAAATGACAATGAATAGTAGAGAGGACCAGTTTAGATAATCAGGTGTTTGGAACTAAAATTCAGAGGATCGCAGAGATGCCCTATTCCAACATATTTCATTGTCATTTTTAGGGGTCTGAATGGGATGTCCCAATCACGCTTTGCACTAAAAGCAGCGGCCACGAAATTCTTTATTTATGCAGACTGGAATTGCTTAATACAACTATGCAAAATTCAAATTCAAAGCAGTGACCCGGCATTACGCTTTATTCATGCCGCCGCCTAATGCTTTAACCATAATGTTCATTTAACATTAAGTTATAATGACCTGACTTCACTTCACTTCATTATGCAAATCTAATTCATGTGCTTACGCATTGCGGCATGCAGACCCCATTTTTGAAAGAGTTCTAAAAATAAATGCCAACTCACGATCAAGGTTCGATGTTCTCTTGTCTCGTAGATAGGTGACAGGTCCCTCAGGAACACCCACAGGCAAATCCTCCTGAAAGAGGACAGGTACACAGGATAGCTGACAGATACTCCAGGAATACAGACAGGAACACAGACGGGTCCCACAGCACACATAGACACATGGTCAGGTACAGTCTCAGCTTCCCATTAGTTCTAGGGTGTAAAAAAATAAACATTCAGAAAAATGTCAAGCCACATTTACATACAAAAGTATACAGCAATGTTGACAATAATGCATGACATCATCATAATAATCACAACATTTGATACAAAACCTGCTTTGATTGGGGTTAGAGCACAAGAGACATTGTTAGTGGGGCAAAAGAAGAGCACAGACAAAAGAAAACATAGAATATTCTGACGAAAAGTCCAAACACCAATCACAATAAAATACATCTCACACATGATATCACATGTAAGATATCACAATACATTTGTTCTAAAATCTGTATTGGTTGGGAAAAGAACACATTGAACATTGTTAATGTCAGGCAAAAGAAGAGAACAGCCAACAGTGAACAGACATGCATGTAGAATATCATAACCAAATAACAATCACACTTGATATCACAATCCCAATAACGGTAATATGCATCTCATATTGACATTCATCAAATTACAACTAGATACAAAAACATCAGAGCCAACAACAACACAAATGGAAATGCATTTCAAATATCAGTTCATGAAAATTGACAAGCAGATCAAGTTTGTATATTAGTACACGAATAAAACAGTAATTAGGCAATAGTGTAAACAGCATTTCTAAATCTAAGGTTATTAAGCAACTTAAGTAAGACTGCTTTGCAAAGACTTGCAACATAACAATTTACATCAAGTGAAAAATCCATCTCAAAAGTACAAATGTAATAAACAGCAGTTCATATGATGACTTTTCCCACTGGCACATCCACCTGAAAACATGTTGTCATAAAATATGTGGTCAAACACTGAACTGCTTGAACTTAACTGGGGACAACCAAAAACTGAAAAAAAGGTATATGTAAAGTACACTAAGTTAACATGAAATCTGAGTACTACATGCATGGTTCTAAAATCACACATGATGGGTAGAATATTCAAAAAGTTTTACAATACAATAACACATGACAAATGATTCATACATAATTTCATTTTTAACAATCATTGCACACATGCAATTACTTTAACTAATAGGTAGCAGTTGAAGTTTTCAATGAAGAAATTATTAATAAAAGAAGAGTCATCCTGCCGCCAGTGACTTTGTAACAACTTTGTTAGTAAGTGAAGATTTAATCTGTGAATAAACAAGTCATGAAAGGGCTTAGCCTTGAAGATGCCTGTCGTGTATACAAACCTGCTAGGGATTCAAACCCAGGACCACAACGTTAACGTCACTGTCATTTGTTGTCCCAAGTTGTCAATTTCTGTTCCCAAAAAACAACTACATAACTACAGTACCTCTGAAAACATTTCCCTTGGTTTGGAGCTCCTTGTTGTATTTCAATGCAAAATCTGGAACAAAATCTGGAACAACATTAGGCATACAATTATCATATTCAAGTAATACTATCATGAAAGTTCATCTGTGTTGGTTACGTTACATGTTTAAAGTTAAAACCTTTGATACAACACAAAGAAAGCTCTAGGTGAAAGATTTCTTTGTGTTGGATCAAAAGTTTAAACTTTAAACAATATTCAAGTAATGTTGGCTCTGTCATCAATTTGTCTAAAGGTTACAAAACAAATAAAAATTACAATCTCAGTTATGTTCCCAAAAAACAACTAACGTTACATGTATTTACATAACTACGGTACCATACCAAGTATTGATGGTCTGTCATCAGTTTGTCTAAGGCAGTCAGCTCTGTGCACCCAATTTTTTTCTGCAGGTGCACTGGTGCCCCCAAATATTTCTGTAGGTATTTTTGTACATATGAAATGTATGATAGTACACAGGATATTCTAGGCATCTAAGCCAGAAAAACAATAAAGTCTTTGTTGTAATACTTGTTTAAGCCTTTGTTTTAAAATGGTGCACTAAAAAAAATGTGCACCTAATTTTTTAGGTTGGGTGCACCAGTGCACCTATTCCCAAAAATGAATTTTGAGCCCGGTCTAAGGTTTACACGACAGATATAAACATTTTAATCTCAGATTTTACCAAATAAAAGTCAAGTTCGAGAGTCTTTTTTTTTTACTGCTCAACAACTGGTTGCATGCATAGAAAAGTCCTGAACTGTTCTAGACCAAAACACCGCTTCTCTTACAGTCAACCTTATGGTGGATTCTTGGTGTCTTTTCTACCTACAAAATATTTACCTTCCTGAGCACTATGTGACGTACATGTATATCATAACCCTGGATACGGTCTTTGATCAAGGTCTTTGTCTTTGGTCTTTGGTCTTTGATATATAAAACAACTCTGTTAACGCCCGCCCCCTCCCCACTCGAAAATATTACCGATCGTCTGTCTCCCCAACTTGCAAATCAATCACCTTATCCATGTCATCCTCTACACAAACGGTACTATCGTGTCCCCTCTGTATGCTATCGGCCTCGGAACACTTTTGTTTTACATTGAAACGCATAGAATTTGACCAAAACACAAAGGACAACAACAACAAACCACGTTTCAAGCAAAGCTGACTGTTCAGGTCAGGGGTCACATAAAAGCGCCCCTCAGCGGATTATTTACAAAGTGCACCTCTTAAGATTGGTGTAGTTTTTCTATTTCAGGATCATTAATTTCACCCTCATTGAATAGTAATTGATTGACCCATGTTCAAAGAACTGGTGTGGGTACGGTGCAAAAAATTGAATAAATGAAAGTGCCTTTTTATCTTCCTTACTGGACCACACAAAAGCGCCCCCATCGGTTGCTTAACTTGGTGCAGCGTTAATTGTCTTTTGTATTTAAACTAGCAAGCAACCAGCAAAATTAGAACAGGGTAACGTTACATAAAATATATAACTGTTAACTGTTATAACATGAAACTTTAGGATTTAGCCTCAAGCTTGTTCGTATGCACACGTGCACATTCCAATAGGTGTTTTTGAACCACGTGGAGAAAAACAAAATACAGTTTTTGTTAGATTATTCTTTTCAGAAATATGGTCTCAGGCGTTGTGTATTTGACAAGAAGGAGACATAGAAATACGCTTAAACTGTACAGGCACACCGAACATAATTATGCGCGAAAAATCGGCTCTTTCGAAGTCTGTCTTAAAATTTCTTAAATCGGGAATTGTCGCTCGCAGTTTACAGAATCATATCATTTCTCTCTGATGAATATGAATTGTTAAATATGACATGTTCTTACTAGTTGTTAGGAAATAAAGCTAGCCAATTAAGTTGTTGCTTACCTGTGCGTCAAAAGCGAAGTCGCACTCTCTGTCTTCCAATCTCGCCATTTTCTTATCTTCTCCAAAATTCACCAGGTCATGAAAATCCACATTTTCTTCCCAAAACATCGAGAGAATAGCATGATTTTACTGCGAAAACTTCCGAACTCTCTACTGTACATTTCAGAAACACATTCTGACCATAAAAACTAAAAAAAGTACCCGGAAAGTTGCAAAGAATACAACATCCCAGAGAGATCTCTTTTTCCAAAACGCCATTTTTGAAAGGACCATACCAAATGGGTTTGCGGAAAAAACCGCCCACCAATCAGGCCAGGCTACTTGACCAGTCCACCAGGCCAGGCTAGCACGTCAGGCTACTCAGATCCCCCCATTCATATCCTCACGAATCGTAAGACATCCAAGCAGTCGCGCCACCTAGCGGAATTCATCAAAATTAGGGCTTACTTTACTGGTTCATTTTGATGATACGGGTTTCCAGTAAGAATGGACGGATTTCAAAAGAAAGAATTTGACCAAGGGAATATGTGTCAGAAATATATAGTCTAAGTAGGATCTCTTTCTTCCCGGAAGAGTACTAGTATTAAAGATATAGTAAAAAAAGTTATTCTTTAAATGTTGGCGAATTTGCTCTCATTTCTGCAGTGATTTTTTTCGCCGCTACGGGGCGTTTTTGATCCATGGCAATTTCAACTCCAAGACCGTTTGTTCATTACCATTCGACATCATCATCATTCTTCTAAAATAACACAGCGTGTGTGTGTGTGTGTTTGTGTGTGTGTGTGTGTGTGTATAAAGAGAGAGAGAGAGAGAGAGAGAGAGAGAGAGAGAGAGAGAGAGTACTTATTTTAAATACGTGTATCGTAAGAAAGCGTACCATATGTCTCATGCCCCAAGCCTACGTGCAAAGGGTGTTCTTTAGTAACAGGAGTGCCTATACTAGTAGTTCCTATTGCAGTTCTGATCTACATTGCTAGGGTTCATTGCGTTCCATGTCCTGACTAGTGGTCTTACAAAATGTTCGCGACCTCCAGCTCACTAATCAACTAATCATCAATGAACACGTAACTCATATACAGTTTATATAAAATTCCCAAAGGTTTACTTTCTGATAGGTGACGAACTTTTTGAACGACTTCCGGAATTCCGTTTATAAATTCCAAAATTGAAATTTAAGGAACTTGACTTTGGTCGATCATTGCTTGCAATATACAATTTGAAAAGGGTATCATTATTACACTTCACAACCTTTGGTACATTATACAAAACACATCAAACAGACCTTAAAATGCATGTACATATTTACGGATTCGTAAAGGAAGCGTAAAAGGTATTAATTATATTCACGTCGTATCTAAGCGCACTGAAAGGTGACGGAGAGGCGGAATTTGTCTTTCAGTGGCCTTTACGAAGTCGTAAAGTCTACTGAAATATTCGCCCACCTTTAATAACCCTTTACATATTGCGGAAAGGTTGCTTAGATATCGGTTTTCGTGCGGTGATGGCATCCACTGATGCAGTGTCGACCTAGAGCCCCTACCGACTTTCTGTTGCATTTTTATAGGCAACGATAACTTCAGAGACTGATTTAAGCAAAACCTTATCACCAATCACTGACGAATTACACCGGATATACTCCAGTACCGTAGACCTTAATTCCTGCTCATTAGCGATGTAAGGCGTTAGCGCGAAGAACTCCAGCAGCTGCAGTCCCGTCTTTGAGTTTTCCTTGAAGCACTCTGTGACGTCGATGTTGGTCTCGTCTTCAGACGTGACGTAGCTGACGCCCATGTCGTCGAACCACTGTTTGACGTCAGATGACGTGCGGAACACCGACTCCAGACGGTCACCTTCGCCGAAATCCCGCCACATCTTGCGATACAGGTTATTATCTGTGAACAGTGAGAATAGAAGGCCAAACAACACAGGGCCCCACTGAAAAGCAGTGTTACCAATGAGTGGGCAACGCAGTATAAATGTGACGGAAACTAAATAAAAGAAATAAATAAACACATGATACATCATTCGACTTCGAAATAATATAACGGTCAAGGCGTAAAGAAAAAAATCAACAAAACTTCAAAGTGTGCCTATCGCCAGAAAACTGACATTTTTGGTGGTAAGAATTTGAAGCACTTTGAGACTTTGAGCACACACAGAAAGGACTTACAAAGCATAAGGACTTAGGTGGTGAATCAAGTAACGAAAATACATGTAAGAAACTAAAGGTGCTCAATCTGTCAGCTTACCTGACTTAATCTCGATCAACATGTGTCCACCATCTGCCAGCTGTTCCCACATGTTCCGCAAGGTGGCGTGAAGATCTGAGACATGGTACAGAACGTGGACTGCGTGGATGAGATTGAACTTTGTGTGTTCTTCCGTCAGGAGGTACTCCTCTGCTGTCTGATGCCGCCAGTCAAACCTCACAGCGCCGAGGCTCGTGTCTTCACGCACCCGGGTCTACAGGATGTAGGATGACGGCGATATTTTAAACAAAAGGCAGGCAATATGAGTTATTTCCATGGCTATAATTGGGGTCAACGCCTAACAAAACCTCTTTTACTTCTAGTGTAAACAGATGCCCCTGATGCCTGCGTTGAGAAAAATATACTTCTTGAGACAAAAAGATGTTCACTACTAGTAGGCATTCGAGGAAAATGACATATTTGTAAAATAGCTAGAATTCCTGTAGACAATGTATCATACTATTAGGCTCAACCATGTGGTGTCGCCAAAAAAACTGCCACACGTAATCGTGCCACAGCAAAATGAATTAAAAAGGACACTAAACATAGTATACTCTCATTATCTATACTCCAGACCTCCTCCTCCTATGTAGGAAGAGATCGGTCCCAATACACATACCTGTAGGGCCAATGAGCTTGCCTGAGAGAAAATTTTATAATACCGTTGTTTGCAAATGGTAACTTAATTAATGGTCTTCTCTATTCACACTACTAGTATTTTGTCGACAATTTCTTTATGCTATTTTCCCAGCAACTATTAAAATGGGTTCTGACAGAGACTGCAAAACTTCGGTTGACATCGTCTCACCTTGTAACGCTCTATCATGTCCTCTGACGGCTCCACCACCCTACTGTACACACTGTCGTACTGACGGAGGAGCTTCTTCAGAATGATGCTGTCAACCTCTCCTAAGAGAAAAGGATCGTATATTTGAATCGTATATTTGATTAATCAATATTCCAGTCTTAATTTTTCAAGAATGAATACTATTTGGCGTTGTTATCATCCATATGTTAGCGTCTCTTCTATTTGTTGACGGTCGCTTCTAGAACAGTGCTGACTTATTCTTAGACTAGTAACGCTACATGTACTAAATTGTAAGATCACGGGAAGATTTGTAGTTGAAACGTCGCCCACCGCCCACGCGCCTCGGGACAGCATGCATAGATACACACAGCCTTCTCGTCATGGCAAATTAAACGTTCAAACAGGTCAAATTTTCAAATACTTACGACCACGATTCATAGGTTGTGCAATATCAGCGATACATCAGGAAAAGGAGACATCCTACATGTCTGCCAAGATCCTTCAACATCTTTGGAGTCACATGAGACGCACTGCACTTGCGTGAAACCATCTGTTAGACTAGATGATGTTTGGTCAACGTAGCATGAGAATTTTGTCCGTTGCATATCTTTTACGACACAACATTTAAAAACTACAGAAGGGATACCATCTGCGAACAGGGCCTTAAAAGGCATGTTCTTTAGAAGTGCTATACACATTCCGCTCTTGATTTCACGCATGCGCAGTACGTTATGCTAACGTGCTGAGTCATGGCGGCCTCACCTGATCCGCTGCCTATCCCCAGCACACGCACGTCTGATCCGGATCCGGACTCACGCAGGACGGAATCCGGAATCTGGGATCCGTAGAAAAGCTGGCAGTTCTTTTCGGTGTTTTCGATCGCGGCTTGATAGGCCCTGAAGCTTGCCAGATACCGCCTCGGGTACAGTTTCACCAGCCTTCCGAAATTCTTCATTCCTTTGGGGATGCAATTTACACATTAGAAAACTTAAATTTTGATGATATATATGGTTTTCTATTCCAGTCAAGAGTGACCAAGTGTAGCTATAATGTGGCCTCCTACGCAAACTTTCTAGTGACCCGTGTTTGTAGTATGTTCAACGCAGCTTTTTTTATTCTTTATTTTTATTTTTCATCATTTTCTTTAGCCAGGGTGGCCCTCTCAGTAACTAAGCACTGCTTTGCAGCGAGGCCCTGGATCCGGACACATAAAAACATACAAATATGATACAAGAAACAAGACAACATGGCAAACATACAGAAGTACTAACATGACAAAAACAAACAAACATATGTAAGCAACTACAAAAACAAAGCCATTCTGGAGCTAGAGCACGACGGTTTCTTTTAGGGTGGGGTTTGGGGGCTGCAGCGTGGGGCAGAGCTGTATGCTTAGTCCAGAAACAACTCTCCCTCAGAAACCGCCGCGCCCCAGCTACCCTGAAGTTCGTAGAACCAAACGGTTATATATTGCTAGTCTGCGCGGGTGGTTAGCTATAACGTTACTTCCTTTTGTGTCGTCATTCAAGAAGGTCAAGCCAATACATCTACATGTACATGAATTGTGTAGTGTTTCCGTACAACGTATACTAGATATAGCGCTTTGGGAAAATGTAGGAACCCGCAATAGTAACCGTCATATGATTTGTATCAAGTCGTAAATGTTGGAAACAGCGATTTGAACATTTCAATGAGAACGAGTCTAAATGCTAACCTGGTTCGGATCCCATTCCCACCACATGCACCTCAGTCCGCGCTTCACATAGAATAGAGTGGACACACAGAATAGTTCGGGGTCTTATCTGAGGCATAGAATAGATTGTAGCAGGCTGAAGCGTCGCGTATCCTCTAATACAATATTGCCCAAGCAAGTTTCTTGGCAGAGCGTGTCAGGTGACACTATGGCGTCCGACACACTTGATGAAATTTCATCCAACGTTCGACATCCCCCGATGACAAAAGACAATGTCTTGACCTTTTTCAGGTGAACCCCTTTGAGCTGTCTTTTTAGGAACCTTTTGTGTCAGTCAGCCATGGTTTTGTTCAACAGAAAAGACATACAATTGATCCCTTTTACCAATGACGTCCTTGCTTTTACAACCCCCGTTGCGTAGCTCTACCTTGTTTATCGTGACAAGAAAAGGAGCGCGTCAATTTGAATAGTCTAAGATCACAAAACCCACTCATTATGCAGAATGTGGGACTATTCATTATCCACTGCCTTCAAAGAAGAAGTCAAACCTCATAATAGCTAATAAGTGTACGTAGTAGAGGTGTAAGTTTTTCCAGACAAGTAACAAAACATTCCGACCCAAAATAAAAATGCTACTAAACCACGGGAATACAAAGCTCTTATTGTGAATTTGCGACAGTACATAGCGACGTATACGACAAGCCGGTACATGCTGGTTTTTTGCGTAATTTATCGGAATCGGCACTATACGTATGTACTGAGTTCTTGAGTCGTGGAGCTTCGGCAGCCTGGGTGCGGTCCTCCGTAGTTACCACTGGCTCCCTATTGACGCTAACTACCATGGACTACCTAGGCCCAGAGCCAGGCCAGAGCCTCGGAGGACGTGATTCTTTTTTTTTTTTTTTTTTTTTGAGAACAGGCGAAAATCAATGCGCGCGCGGATGTCATCCATAAAATTAAGTCGGTGTGGCTTGATAGTGGAATTTGGACCTGAGCCATCCTGTTGCTTGTCATTGTCAACAATTGTAGACTGACTGACAGTCACAGTCCCAATATTAATGCATTGTGCAGGCACCTAGGCCTAGCGGTTGAACTTGTTCCTCAGCAGCTGCTGATTGTTAGAAGCTTGGCCACGACACGTCTAGACTGAAGTGGGGAGTAACATGTAATGTAGCTATATATAGCATACAATTACTTCTGCATTAATACCTGTTTGACTCATGATAACCTTTCAGACATGGGAGGGGCCACATTTGAGCCCGACAAACTTTACAGCTTGCTTATCAATAAAGTATCATATGCATGTGATCTTCGATGGTAGAAATTAGCATTTTTGTGTACATTGTTCTTAGAAAACATAATGTGACGTTTTAAAGGATCTATGCTAGCTATCAGATAGACTGAGACTCGCCGAACTCCAACGAGTTAAAATGAAGTACGGTCTCATTGTAGGTTTAGGTCGTTCACCCAAATAAACATGACTCCTGCACTGTACATGGAACATGTGCCGTAATCGGATCACGTTCATTACTTACCTCACGGGTTAGCCACGTCTTCACGCGTCCAACCAACAAAATATGCTGATTTATGAACAAACGCTTAGTAACTTTCGAGCGTAACACTGTTTAGTTCAAAACCAGGAGAGTGAGTGGTTATAACTGGCGCGGATTGGATGAGCGCCAAAATGACGTCAGCTAGAAAAGCTTCTTCTCTCTGGGAGAACAGAAGGGCAGACGTCACAATTGCGTTGCGCAGTAGAAATCTGAGAAAGTACTTTTATGGGGCCTTGTTTCAGTGTATTTAACCATAGGTTCCTATGGTGTACTGTCTATCAGTCCATAAGGAAACCAGTAGGGACTGCACTTCCGACATAAATCGATAGGTGATACAAATGATCGGAATTTGTTCAACTCCGTTAAACATTCAAATAGAATGTAAAACACTGCTCTAGTAGCTGGTCGTACCAGACACTGACACGGATAGATTCATTTCTGTAACTGATAGCAGGGATTGGTAGAGCGCAAAAAATGACGTCAGAGCCAAGTGCTATTTTTTAAAGAGGTCAAAGGTTACCAAGAGCTCCTCAGCAGAAAGGATGGCGCAGCTCGTAATCGCCAGACAAAACATCGCGTTTCTCTCTCCGTTCCTAAACATTACGTTTCTGTTTGTTTGTTTTCAACTTCACGTCAGTGGGAAAGGGGACGTCATAGGGCACCTCTTGACAGAGACCGTGCTGTAGAACGTAAAACAGTATGGCGAGAGCGGTTTGGGCGTTGTCGGCGTTCTGTCTTCTTGTATCGGCTGCATGCGGAAGTGAAGGATACGAAAAACACAGAGGAGACAAAACTGCAGGTTTTAATGTGCTGATGGCTGCAGGACAAGGGCGGCAGGGTCAGGTGAGATTCAGAAGGACGCTGTTTATATACAAATGGACTCGTAAGGTGACGCACGTCAGTGTAAAATCGAGCGGGGTAGACGATACTGGAATACTAAGTACTTACATCATCAGGTCATGCAATGCGAGGCAAAGCGTAGCGCTGGTCTAGCCTCCTGTGCAGGCTCCGGGGCAGGTGGAAATTTTGATACAGCGTTTTGAAGAATTTTATCTTCATAGCCGGCCATCCAGTCACCGAGAGAAGGTTCCATACCACCCATGGAATGGTTGGTTGTAGGATAGTCCGCTTTTAAAATAACGCGTTGAAATCTCTTCAAAACGCTGTATCAAAATTCCCACCCGCTCCGTAGCCTGCACAGGAGCGCTAGCATAGCGCTAGTCCAACATCATCCAGTCGTCCCGCAACATACTGTCAGCTACTATTGCTGTAACACTAGTACTGTCATCATTAAAATAGTGACTATTAAAGCAGCATGTTGGCTGCCGGGCCGTTGTTGGATGGAAGTTTGCCTGTGCCTGTTGATACCCTCTACTGTTAACCGGGTCACGTTCGCAAGTCGGGGCCCGGCCGGGCAGTTTACGGGAATGAAAATATATATATATATGATATAAAAGACAACAAAACACACAAAAAGGTTAGAAGATGATCAGAAGCGATATTTGTGCATATTCTCGATTTGCAGTTGTTGTTTTTTTCGTTCACGCAACAGCCCAGCCGGGTCCCGGATTGGAAATCTACCTGTTGACCCTTGCACAACAGGTGAGGGAGTCTTAATTGTAAAAATGCTAGCAATGAAAAAAGAAGTGTTTCTTGGTAATACCATTTTACAACAGTCTTTAATAGACAATGTTAAACTTGATCAGGCCGTTCTGGTTCGCGACAGGTCGCGGCACGCAGAGTCAGACGACAATACATATACATACATACATATACATACATACATTTTTAATGGATAAAAAGGCAACTGCCTGTGTGATCCATATCTGAAACCTTAAAACTACTACATTACAATAGATAAATTACAAAAATAATAAAATATACATTGTCCTCGCTAATACATGTACTTTGGCGATAGTTACTTAAACGTTCAGATTTACAATGTTAGAGTTGTACTTATAATGTCCAGAGTTCAGAGTTGTTATGATCAAGTTATAATGTCCAGAGTTCAGTAGTTTCTAACATTAAACGTTCAGATTTACAATGTTCAGAGTTGTACTCGTCTTGTAATGTCCAGAGTTCAGAGTTTGTTATGATCAAGTTGTAATGTCCAGAGTTCAGTAGTTTGTAATATACCAAAATATCAGAGTTTGTAATGTTCAAAATTCAGAGTTGTAATGTCCAGAGTTCAAAGTTGTAATGTTCAGAAGTTGTAATATCTAATTATGTGTATTCCGTCCCCCTCCAGTAACTGTCCAGTCTTGACTTAAAAGAGTTAACAGTGTCTGCTGCCACAACATCTGCGGGAAGGCTATTCCAAGCATTTATTGCTCGTACACTAAAAGAGTTTGATCTAGTTAACTTCTTCGCTTGTGGTTTGGCGATTTTGTATGGATGGCCTCTGGTACGTCCATCTACGTTTAAGTTGAACAGCCGGCCTGGGTCGACACGGTCGAAACCTTTGACGAACTTGAAGACTTGTATCACGTCACCTCTTTTGCGGCGGTGCTCAAGAGTAGGAAGTTGCAGACGACGTAATCTGTCCTCGTAGCTGATTTCTCTGAACCCAGGTACAAGTCGCGTCGCCTTGTGCTGTATTCTATTCAGTAGCTCCTGGTCACCTATAGAGTATGGACCCCATATCACATTACCATACTCTATAATGGGCCGAACCATAGTTTTGTACAACAGGGGTACGGTTGTCTTGTCAAGTCGTTGAAAGCTCTTCTTGACGAGTCCCAGAATTCTGAATGCCTTGTTAGCAGCGGCGGTGCAATGCGCATGGAATTTCAGTTTCCTGTCAACGATTACTCCCAGGTCCCGCTCCTCGCTGGTTTCTTCCAACGTGGAGCCTTGGATTTCATATTCTTGGCAAGGATTACCATGCCCAATATGCATGCGTTTACACTTTTCGATGTTAAAGCTGAGCTGCCAGTCTTTGGACCAAGCTGCCAGGTTGTTAATGTCTGCTTGCAGGGTGGCAACTTCGACTGGAGAGTTTACGACGTGACGGACACCACCGAGTCCGCTGGCTGCACGTCAACTCCCGCGTCACGTCACGATTCGCCACCGTGACGGTGGAGAGCAAGCTGTTCAACCGGGCGGACCGGGGCCGAGAGGCCGTCTTCAACATGCAGCTGCCGGAGGCCGCTTTCATCTCCAACTTTTCTATGTAAGGGAATTAAGTCACTGCGATATTTCATCTTATACAAATAAATTCGATCTAGGTACGCTTTTTCTTCGGATAATGCTGAGGTCACAGTTCCTAACCCAGAGTGCGACGGGTCAGTTTTTGAGGACGAAAAGACAACACAACACAAATAAGAGCCGAGGTAAAAAAATATAAATAATCATGAGCTCGATTGGTGTATATTCTTGATGTGAATTTTTTTCCCGACCCGCACGGTTTGAAAATGTGACCTTGGTATCACTGATTTTGCTGCTCTCGGAGATCAAGAAGTTAACTTTAATTATTGTATTCTAAGATGGCGACTGGCCCTCCGCAACACACGTGACAATTGATTTCAGTTCCACCAATCCATAGTCACGCCCCTGTGTTTCCAGGGTCATCAACGGCACCCTGTATGTGGGGAGCGTGATGGGGAAGGCGGCGGCGAGGGAAGCGTACGACGCCGCCGTGGAGGCAGGGGAAAGCGCCGGGCACGTCGCACAGGAAAGGTCTGGATCAACCTCGTCATCGGGCCGTGCAAACACCATTGTTTTAAAGATGGTGGCTTTCTCAACCTCAGTGATATGTTGTCGGAAGCATGATTACCTTTATCACAACACACGAAGCTGGTTGAGCAATTATAGCGCAATTTTGTAATTGCAGCATGCTTTAAAACTGTACCTACCGTATTTGGTGTGTCAACTAATCTCCAACCAGATTATATGGTGGCAAGGCAGTATCCATTGTCCATTAGCCACTGAAGGAAAGTCACTGGTCATGTGCGATACATTCGGTGGCTAATGGACATCCCTCTGGCTAATGGATACTGCCTTACCACCGTATGATCTGCTTGGAGATTAGTGTCAACGTATTTTAACCTGTTTGAACGATCTTAATTGTTATTTGCATTTGTTGTAATATACATAATCTTACAATGACTTTACTGTACCTTTTAACAGACTTAAAGTTGGTTGCGTGGTCACATCTTTGACATGCCAGTTGACTGACAAAAAAAAAATGAATGTAAACCTTGATTTTCTCCAGTCCGAGAGGGCGTGAAGTGTTCAACATCGCGATCAACGTCGGTGCATGGGAGGAGGTCACCTTTCAGCTGACCTACCAGGAGTTCCTGGTGCGCAGGCTCGGCATCTACGAACACGTCATCAGGTAAACGTTAACCGACCATTGGTCACGATTTTCAACAAGTTCATGACGAAACTGACGGTCGACAAGTAACTACATGTACATACATACGACAACCTTTCCGTAAACCTATCGTACATCGTATGTAAACAGCGTGGCCTTGGTAACAGGAGCTTTGCACAATATGGTCACTGCCTTTTATAGACTAGCAAATACACAAGTTTTAAATAGCGCTGTCTATTCGTGTATGGAGATGTCAGTGGAACCTTGAAAACCGTGGGGTTTTCGACCAAGGCTTCATATACTCTATCGACTGGTTCCTGTACAATGCAGATACGAGAAGGCCCCTTACACCGTTTTTCTTACAGTATCAGACCACAGCAGATCATACCAGACATGCGCATCAGCGTTGATGTGCGTGAGCCGCAGGGGTTCAGCTTTCTGCGCGTGCCCGACATCAGGATCTCTGACCTGCTGACCGACCAATCAACAGGTGACTTACAACGGCGCAAAAATATCTACTAAGTAAATTAAACCCTTTGGAACAAAAATAACATTTTATAATTTAGAGAGCTTCCATATTCTTGGCATAGGAGTATGGACATAATTTTAAACTACTTACAATACGTGTTGTTTGTTGCTTGAGCAGACGAGTTGTCCACTGCGACTGTGTTTCGTGCGAGTCCTGATCATTACGTCATCACCTAACGCACCATCCGAGGGGAACAGGCCGCCATGTCTGCCGAGGGCATCATGGGAGATTTCGTGGTGCAGTATGATGTCGTTCGCCAGCAGAAAATCGGGTTCATCCAAGTAAGATACTTTCATACTCACTCCTTACGTAGAAATTGATTGAACCTAAAAAGAATTTGGGCATGTATTTATCTTCAGCATTTGGGGAATATACGGAATAGTTTTAGGGAAGATGATCAGTTTTATGGAGAATTAGAAACGTTGACGTCGGTATCTTGCGCAGGTACACGGGGACTACTTTGTACACTACTTCGCGCCGACCGGTTTAGCAGTCATGCCCAAGAATGTTGTCTTTGTGATCGACGTCAGTGGCTCCATGAGCGGTGACAAGATACGTCAGACTAAGGAGGCCATGGCAGTCATCTTAGGCGAGGTAAGCATTGCTTGTTCGTTTGTGTTAAGAGGAGTTACGTATAGTGTGTTTTGCCGAAGGGCGGTTATACACATACGTACATGTACCTCCAATAGTTAATGCAAAGTTGCAGTGTTAGTAGTCCTTCCAAATCAACGATTACTATCAGCACGGGTGTGTAACCTCATGTGCTTTAAGTTCAAAACTAGAGGCATACAGTCGTCCACACTACGAACATTGGTTTGTTGTCAGGACTGCTGTTGCTGCTGTTTAAGTTTCCTTATACTTGTGCTATCACTACAGTTAACCAGCTATAACATTTTAGGCAGACTTTACTTTCTCACTCTTTGTTTTGGTGATAACATCTTCTCTCATTCTAGCTTCGAGGAATGGACTTTTTCAACATCCTGACGTTCTCTGACCGCACCACGCGGTGGAAGTCAGAACTGCAGGTGGCCAATCAGGAAAACGTCAGGGCTGCTCACACGTACGTCAACAACATGAAAGCACTAGGAGGTACGTAATACATGTATAACTGCCATGAAAGGTTTTGTATTTCAGTAGTCAAGCTCGAAGTATCACAAATGGGTCATCCTTGTAATTTGATTTTTCAGTGCCCAATTTCTGTATAATGCTCCATACTTATATGCAATGACGTAATTGTAAGGCGAAGGCAAAAGGCAATGGCTAATATGAGTTTTCGTAACTGCAAGGAACAAACATCAACGATGCCATCATAGAATCCTCGGCCCTGTTGGACCGAGTCCTCGGCCGTGACAGTCGAGCCTCCATGATTGTGTTACTGACGGACGGTCAACCCACGGTCGGTGTGACGAGCACCAATCAGATCATCGCAAACGTACGGGACCACCTGGCGGGAAACCACGCCCTCTTCTGCCTCGGTTTCGGATACGACGTCTCGTTCGAATTCCTGGAAAGACTTGCACTTCAAAATGGAGGTAAGGACAACAACTCTATGTACACTAGGTTCATGGTGGTTTTCAGACACACCGATTGTAAGGCCTTCCACAAAACATGGAATAGTGTATTTGTACAATATTACATAGTGTATTTGTACATTACAAATTTTACATTAAAATTTGTGAAGATAATTTTAATCAGAAAAGGGAGGGAAAATTATAAGGCTTTGTTTTTTCAGGGTTCGTCAGAAGAATCTACCCAGACAGTGATAGTAACCTACAACTGACGGGCTTCTTTGACGAGGTGGCCAAACCTTTGATGGTAGACGTCAACATGGGGTACGGCCAGGTCGGCAACACGGCACTGCAGGTGGGTAAAGAAGTTAGGCCTATAGGAAAAAATGTTGTGTTTTCTGTGTCAGTCCTGAAAAACGTAGGGTCGGTAGGTAGGGATTATCTTTTTTTATTCTTCTTTTTTTAGACATTGGCGATCTCTAGTGATCCAAATGAAAGAGAGAGAGAGAGAGAGAGAGAGAGAGAGAGATTCAACTTGTACAATACTACTTTAACATACTACTTTAACAAAGTAGAACTTGCATGAGGACACTTATATTTTCAATGTCAATGTTGAAAAAACAGCTGTACAACATTTCATAACTCGGGTGTCAGCTACAAAAAGTCAACCAGCTTGAAAAATTTATGTCCCGTGCAGGGGTTCACAAAAAAAGGCTAGGGTCAGCTGTTTTTTCTAGGGTCGGTCTGGAAAAAGGAAACACAACTTTTTTTCCCTAGGCCCTATAACCTATGTCCACATCAATTCAAGTAGTGCTTCATAACATTTGAAGCAAAAAACATATGTCTCTTTTCAAACAGACGTACAGATGTAGAGAATGCATTATGAAATGTACAGTATTGTCTATACTAAGAAGGTCTAAAAATTTTCATTGAGTTCCTTGATGTGTCAATACCTAGGTTGTTGACGTCACGCAGACCGCCTTTTCAAACTTCTTCAACGGTTCTGAAGTGGTGGTTGCCGGGCGTTTCCCTGGAGCCCAGCCTAGCAACTTCCACGTGACCGTGACGGGGAAAGGAGCACAGGATTCGCTTTCATTGGTGGAGGATTTCCAGGTGTGTATACATGTATGTGGAGGATTTCCAGGTGTGTATCAACTTTTACATGACCTGTATTCCTGGTTCACAGGTAACAAACCTAACGCCGAGGTCACATTTCCAAACCACACTTTCAACAATTTATATCAAGAATATAGGCTAATAGTTCCCGTTATTAATTTTTTCAACTTTTTTTGTGTTTTGTTGTCTTTTGTATAGATCATACTTTTCGTTCCGTAAGACTGCCCGGCCGGGCCCCGGTTTGGAAATGTGACCTCAGCATAAAGAAACGAATCAAACACAGTAGATGCAAAATATATATCTTAAGTTTTCCCGACCTTGCATTTACATAGAGGGGATCGAACTAACACATACTCCTCTACCATCTATTGCAGTTGGCCTCGTTGGTAGCGCCCGAGGGGTACGTGGAGCGCCTATGGGCCTACCTCACCATCAAAGACCTACTGAAGAAAGAACGTACTTCAACAGACGAAGAGCAACAAAGCGAACTAGAGGAACGCGCGCTGAGCATGTCCCTGGAGTACAACTTCGTCACCCCCCTCACCTCCATGGTTGTTCTCCAGAAGAACAGACGGGGACAGCCTGCCGATTACATGCTACACGATGAATCTAACCAACGTGATATTGCTTATTTTGGAAACCGCGGTATTGCAAATTGTTGTGGGCAGAGTAGTGCTAGTGGAAGGTCGACGTCGGGGTCATTTTGGACTGTCGTGACCACTGTTGTCTCTGCTTTGCTCTGTTTCTGAGATCATATTAAGGACAAGTTAAGATTGTGAGGGGGAGATCGTAATAGATTGTCAATTTGTATATATTTATTTGGAAGTGTCAAGATACGGAAGTAGCTATAGGTATGTCATTTTGGATTGTCGTGACCACTGTTGCTTTGCTCTGTGTCTGAGATCATGTTAAGGGCAAGTTAAGATTGTGAGGGAGGGATTTTGATACCTTGTCAATTTGTGTATAATTGTATACATATGGGTTGATTTGTTTATATACATATATATTATACGATATTTTAGAACAGTTGTGTATAATGTTATAATATAATGTTGTGAAAATGTTTCACAATTCTAGTCCTTTTGCTGACGTGAAGCTGTCTTTCCCCGTAGTATAATAGCCTACTAGCAGGTAGAAAGTTATCATTGCCTTAGTTGATCTACATTTCTAGGGAATTCTGTACACGCTGAAGGACATGTTTACTGTTTATAGTTATACGCTACTGTTGTAGTTCACGAGAACATTAGTCAAGATACTAATATCTAGATAGATTATACGGATATGACATTATAAATGTATATGCTATTTTGCTACTGGCGCTAGCTGCTGCAACCTGGTAATAAACGCATGAATAATACTTCTTATGATTGTCTGGTCGTATTTCTGTCATTGATATGATAATGCAGATAGAAATGATAAGTTATGACACATATGACGTCCATGCGGTGAATATATATACAGGGTACTATCTGATGAGGAAGAACATTTCCTTGATCATGATTTGACATCCGCGAAAGATCATTCCAAATGTCAGTCACCGGCATCCTTTCCGTTAGAGTCAAGATATGGAGGTAGATAGGATTACGTTTGGTAGAAACCATGGGAACAGTATGCTAATGCAACGATAAGATCACAGAAAGTCAATCACGCAAATCCCAACATCAAAAACCTCTTGCACGAAGAGGAACCAGGTTTACAAGTCGACTCCCCTCTTCTGTATTGAAATTCGCGTATTTGTCTGACGGAAACGAATTCTGTAGTTAGATCTTTGTTTAATGTAGATGTACATAGTAGGTGCCATGGTAGACATAAGTTTTCAAAAATCAAGAAGCATGTTGCAGCCTCTACTGTGCTGTAGGAGCATCAGTGTCGGTACGAAGCTGACCTTGCTGGTGTTTGCTGCTGCACACATGGCTGTGGGGACTGGACAAGGTATGCCTATCGTCAATTTTTAGACATTACATATTGATACTAACTGATATTACTCAACAACTGAAAAATATTACTATCTGGAACTACACTAGAAAAAACATCATGCTTCACCTCTGTTGAAGATGCCTGACGATACTAACTGAGATTCTAACCATATAGTTTCAGTTTCTCTGTACCTTAAAAAGCATTTAAGAAGTCTCCTATATCCCCGAAGCATGGACGTTCCCGAGACATTTTCTTGACGGTAGCAACATGTACAGCTCTTATTGTTTTACAATAGTATAGGTTGTATCTTGTTCACAACTGAATCTACTTTTCGTGAGAACAAGTTCGGTGTTTTTTCACTGCCTCTACATAACATCGACTGGCCTTCTGTTCAGCCTTACATACCCAAAATTGTTTGTGGAATAATTTTTTCATGTGTTTAACTCAATTTTTGATGAATGACGACATGTAAATATTTGTGCGGCCTCCATCTATATAGGATATCTTATGAGTAAAACGTTTCAAAATGTAGTCTTCAATTTGCTTTTAATATGTCTGGAAATTTATATTGAATGATCGTACCTTCCTGTTTTAATCTATTTGATAAGAATTTTGTATTATGTTGCCAATTAGTCTAAGATGAATGAATTATTAAAGAACCACAATTCAGCCTATGTAAGGCTGCCAGTGTTTTTATCCTCAATAAACCATTTCATCATCATCATCAATTTTGCCTAGAAGCAAAACAATAGTGTTTCAATGGGTGTCTGGAATACATATTTTCTTGTGGTTGCACCACACCATCACCAGTGCAATCACGTATTGCCACGTCTCACAAAACAAGATCCATGGGACTGGAAGATGGAGCCAAATGTCACCTACTCACTGGGGAAATCACGCTCACGAACACGCTTGTGTGGTAGTCCTTTAAATAACTCAATACAGACAAGTTAGTTTATATCTCCCTTTTGACTAAAGGACATGAAATATTCAGATAGCATTTGATACAACCCTTGCTGTTCATAACAGTTGTCGGCGGACAAATAAAGTTGAAGAAGGTTTGAAAGCTGAGTGAATGAAGTGCCACGCATCGTAATAAATTTACTTGTGATCATGTACATTTGCCACCTTTAAATTCAATGTCCTGTCTTCGTCTCATGTCTTCAGGTCTCATGGCTGATTACCACTGGTCAATGGATGAGATGACAATCGGCGATGGTAGCGATTCTACACCTCGTGCACACGCGCACGGTTCCCCGTCACTAGTGGACGGCGTTATCGGTCGCGCCACCTATCTGAACGGACATGAACAGCACCTCGACCTTGGAGAATTCCCAGAAACCTGTTTATCATCACTGACGAACTGTGTTCGAGGCTTTTCAGTCGCTGCATGGATCAAACCGGGAAATAAAACAAAAGAGCGTAGCTTTATTCTCTCTACAGGCGGGCAGACTCCGATGTCGCAAGGGTTCTATCTAGACTTCGAGCCAGAAGATGGATACGAGATAGGCGTCGGTGATTGGTGGAGAGAATGGAAAGTTACCTTTGACCTAATGGAGGGATTATGGGTACATATCTTATTTACATGGAGAACAAATGCAGGGCTTACTCTGTACGTGGATGGGGACTTTGTGGCATCAGACGCCTTGGGTGCAAACAGGACAGCGTCAACACTTCAGCAGTACGACATGTTCAAGGCCTTCAACGTCGGGAAGCCGAATCACCTGGCGGATGGATATGGGGACGTCACTGTTGATGAGCTATCCTTCTGGAGCAAAGTTGTGGATGTTGAAAGTCTAACCATACACAGTAAGTTAAACGTTGTACATTGAACCAAATGGACAGTGTATGTTGTCATATAAAACATATTGCGTATTGAAAGTGGGACCGTTTACGGTTCTTCACATGAGAACTGACGCATGTTTCAACCGCCCGAATAAGTGATTTCGTTTGCCAGCACTAGGCAAACACTGTCAATAGTAAGATGCATTCGATTGATAATATGCATATGGTTTCGTAAGATAAAAGAGTGTCAAGAGACATTCTGTAAAAGGTAAGGATCTATTGTAATGATATTTTGTCTGTCACAGATTTCCTTTACCTGGGATGCCAGAAGAGAAACTCAACCGGCGATAGGGAGATAATCCAACAGCCAATGAACGCGACCACCATGACTGTCACAGTCTGCCGGCTGACATGTGGGAGGGGCGGTTACGTCATGTCTCTGCTGACCAATGGCTCGAGTTGTTCTTGCACCTCGGACGCCATGTTGAATTTGACATCGAAGGAGTGTTCATTACCTTGTTCTGGTGACTCTTCTCAAATATGCGGTTCTAAAGGGGCCTATAGTGTTTTTCGCTCGTCTGGGCTTATTATTCCGGAGCCGTCCGATCCTGAGCCGATTTCAGAGATAGTTTTTGAAGCGGAAGGTAGTCAACCCTATATCTTAGTATCTGACCTGGTGCGGTTCAACTTTTCGATAAAGCCAGGAAGTGACGTCACGTTCTACATCCGGTTCGGTGACGACACACCCGAGGAAGAGTCGAGCAACGGGGTTGTTCACCACGTTTTCAAGGAAGCGAAGACCTTCGTGGTGAATATAACTGCAATGAACGACATCAGCAGCGTATGGAGGACATTTTACGTCACAGTTGAGTCACTGGAAACGCCAATCCGGCATGTTGAAGTCGTGGCTATACCAGCTGAACCAAATCGACCTCCAGAGATTCAACCATTCCTCGTGGGGGGTCAGGACGCTACATGTTGGTTGTCATATGGAGACGGTTTTGTTGTGGAATTTGTCGCAAAGCAAATATCAAATTTTACCAACACACATATTTTCCCCAAGGCTGGTGACTATTTGGTGGAACTGAATTGCAGCAATCATCTTGGCAGTATGACAGCACAGACAAACGCCCTCTTGCAGGACCGCGTAGAATTCCAACTCATGACCGAGATGTTAGATGTTGAGTATGGCGACTCATTCAACGTTTCGTGTCTCATCCTTAATGGCACCAACTCAACGTTTTGGCTTGCGATTGGGAATGACTCATCGGTGGCATACAGAGAATTCAACTCAGCACTCGGAAATCTGACCTTTCAACTTGGACCAGACCATTACGATTGCCCGGGGACGTACGCCATAGCTGTTTCTGCTTTCAATCTTGTGACGCCTGTTTTGAGGCAAATAGGAATTGTAAACGTCTTAGAGCAGATAACAAATCTAACGATATCCGGCGAAATCACCTACGCTACCCCTGGACAAAATGTTGCTCTGCAGGCAAAAGCATGGTCTGGAACTGACGTCCATCTTGTTTGGGACATACAAGGATCGCCTATGGGGGTGCACGCCGCAGAGGATGATGGGAGTTCTTCGTCACTGGGCTACGTGTCCTTCTCGCTACCTCGTATTGGAGAGTACGAAGTGTACTTAGCAGCATTCAACAACCTCGGCCAACAAGAGACCACGGCACATGTGCTTGTGGATAACATTGTTCAAGGTTTGAGCCTGCGCAGTTCGAGTCCAGTCTCGAACCCGCCGGGGGAAGTTGTGTACGAGATCATGCTGCCTGGTGATGACTCGATCCCAGGGGCGGCTACGGCGGTCTGTCAGATCTCGTTTGGAGATGGGACCATGAGTGACGCTGAACCCGTCAACTTCACGGCCACGAGCTTTTACGAACTTTCCCACGTTTTCAACCGGAGTGCTTTCGGCCTTCTCGTCGCGCGTGCAAATTGTTCGAACGCACTGAGCTTCCAGGTCTTCGAAACAGATGTCCACGTTTACGAACCGATCTCTATCACCAACCTCCTCGCTTCCTACTGGGTTGTGGATGGGGAGTTTGAAAAACCCGGATACGGGCCTGAGAGGAAGCTACTCCCGGTGGAAGAGCCGGTCATCTTCACGGTGCAACTTGACACCGACGACGGCGACGTCACCACGCAGTGGTCATTCGGTGACGGTCAGGACAACGCCACGGCGTCATTGAAGACGTCCCATCAGTTTGACCACGTCGGGACGTACCACGTCATAGCCAACGTCAGCAACCCCATCAGTGGCGACATGGTGACGACGTCTGTTGAACTACAGAGAAGTATAAAATTCCGCTCCTTCACAGCAGTTGGAGAGAGGAGCACGGGGATCGTTCTAAACTTCACCCTTGATGTGGAAGAATTCGGCCAGGAACATTGCATACTGTGGGACTTCGGTGACGGGTCAAGCAGGTATCTTTACGGAGTCACTGCATGTAAAGGGAAAGAGCAGTACAATGAAACCGATGTGATATTCGTGGAGTCGCGGAACTATACCATCAACATGTCTCACTCGTACGACACGGAAGCTGGCTATGTAGTCACCGCTGAGGGTGTCAACAAGGTGTCGCGAGTCGTAGCCGAGATCAAGTTATACATCACCACGCGCCCCCTAACGTGCAGTTTCCCGCACGTGCAGATGAAGTTCGGGCGTTACCCCACCTCCCCTGTCGTCCGAATGAGATCGTCCAGCCTGAAGTCAGAGGCAGACGTCGTCGTGCGATGTGAAGTGACCAGGCTGGCCAACTTCACCTGGACTGTCAACAGAGTCGTCAACGTCGCTGACGCCAAAACTGGATTGATCGAGCCCCAGCTGGAATTCGTCTCCACATCGGAATCACCGACACCGCAGAGACTTTTCCCCGCAAGAACGTTTCCGTACGGGTTGTACAGGATAACCCTGACGGTAGCAATGCGCGGTGTGCCGGGGATGGTCGGGCAGGACAGCATGTTTGCGGAGATAGAGAAGTCTCCGTTAGTAGTCGCCATCAGGGGAGGCACGTCACGAGCTGTGGGCTTCAACAAGACCCTAGAACTTGACGGGGTAAAAGAAACCTACGATCCAGACGTTGGCAACATCGAAGGTATGTAAATCCCTGTAGCATCAGATTGAAAGCTTATATTCAGCCGTGTGTAATATTTGTTTGCATAAGTACAAATACCTGCATATGTATATTTACCAATATAGATGTATTCACCATTATATGACCTGACCATGTAATTCCTGTGTAGTCAGTTTTAAAGTGTGTGACGTTCATTTTTTTAGACAAAACTGGCCTGCAGTACATCTGGTTCTGCCGCCGTGGACATGAGAAATTCCCGATGACGGGGGATGAGCTGGACACCACTGTCACAACTATCCCATCTGAGGACGAGCTACAACTGATTCTCGAAGACAGGTGAGATGAAAGGCAGTGACAATAACTGTATATTTGCCTGGAAAACTTGCAAAGGTCCCCTTGCCTTGGTAAACAACGGTTACACCACCTTTGCAGACAGTTGGTGCTACATTGTATTAAAAGGTTCTTTATTCAGAAACAAGAGGGTTTTCACCCAACATTTTGGTGACTGTCTGTCACCTTCTGCAGGGCAACAAGAACCAATCAGTGTTGCCTTGAAGAAGGTGACAGACGGTCAACTAAATGTCGAATGTAGAAAAAACATTGATTGCTGGATAACAAAACCTTCTTGTGCAGTATCTGACCACCCTGATGTAGTACATTGTAGTAGGTTTCAACGAAAGGTCCCATTCCTCCCATAGAGTCATAAGACAAGATGTCATGGTATATTTACTTTCACATTTGCACATTTACCCCTGGTTTAGGACCCTTGACAATGGCGGATGCTATGGAACCGGCCCAGGACGACTGAACGTTTCCGCCGGAGTCATGAATTTGAACACCTTCTGGTTCTTCGCGAACATGACCTACGTCTTCCGCATCCGGGTCACGAAGGACGACCGGGTAGGCTGGTTCGAACAAGCGGTGTACATCAGCCCGGGAGACCCACCGGAACTCATCATCAGGTCAGAGGTTACCACTTCCTGTTTTCTGCATATAGCCTTTTAACATGTTTGTATTACCAGCATCTTTAAACTTTGATTCCCTCCTTCCTCATAGTTGCGATATCAACTGCATGTCCAAGATGAACCCATCACGTGATTTTCAGCTGACAGTCACGTGCCTGACGTGTGTTCAAGGCCTGACTACCTACTACAGCTGGCAGATCTTCCATCTGCAGAAAGACGTGGACGTCGTTACAGAAATACCCAACCTCAACGAAATGACTTACAAGGGTACGTTGTAGAGAGAGCTCTATCTCAGGAAATCATGGAATATTTAAAACAAGAGGACATAATAAAAATAGCTTTTCAATTAGGTGAGATTTTTTGCTGTTGAATGTATGAATTAAATGCTATAAGGGAAGTAAGTTGTCAACAGGCCTTCCAGGCACGACGATCCCGTCCTTGGTGCTGAAAGGCGGGTCGCTGGTTGGCGGGAGGTGGACACAAAAAGATAGCTTTTCAATTAGCTCAGTTTTTCTTTGCTGTTGAATGTACTGTATGCATTTAACGTTGTAACGAAAGTACTAGTAAGTTGTCAACAACCGTTCCAGACACGAAGAACCCGTCCTTGGTCCTGAAAGGACGGCTGTTGGTGGACATAAGAAACAGCTCTTCAGTTAGCAGAGTTTTGTTTGCTATTGAATGTACTTTAAGCAATTAACGGAAGTTAGTTCTCAACACTCGTTCCACTCCGTTCCGTTCCAGGCACGACCAGCCCGTCCTTGGTGCTGAAAGGCGGGTCGCTGGTTGGCGGGAGGTGGTACCGCTTCCGTCTGACGGGCAAGCAGCGGGGGTACGAGGCGGGCTTCACGGAGTACGAGTTCTCCGCAAATCTGCCGCCATACGGGGGATCATGCGACGTCACGCCCAAAACAGGTGAAATTCCATATATTCATAAAGAAAGATAAAGGTAAGGTAGTCCCGTAACCATTTTCAGGCCGAAGGGGCAGTGGATTGTTAATCTATTGTCTCTTGGGCACGGTATTGGAAGTCGGAGCCCATCCTTGTCCTTCCACTGCCTTTTACCTCCCCAACCGAAGTCAGGTACCCATCTTACACCTGGGTGGAGTGAGGAAAGTAATGTGAGGTGCCTTTCCCAGGGGCACAAGATCGGTGATAGGGCCACACGACATCACATTGTAAAAACTTCTCGTACTTGTAATCCTAGCCCTGAGTTTGTGTAAGCTGACCTGTAACACACGCTCATACATGTAGGTGTCTGTTGCTCTCACCAGAAACATTTTGTAAATAGGTTACCTGATATCGCTTTTTATCTTATTCTTGATATGACTTTTAGAATTGTATTTTAGCATGTATTATGAATTTTATACTTGGATTTTAAAGACGGATCTGTAAGCAATGACGCAATTCAGGTGTTGATTTTATATTGTACCTGCTATGTCATTGGTAATAAAATCTGAATCTGAATCACCCTCATAAAGAAAGTTAAATCTAAAATGACTGTTTGATTTTAAACTGGAGTGCTAAGTTAACATTATTAATGATCTCAGAATGACAATCAAGTACTTGGTTCCCAGGATACGCCCTGGCCACGCCCTTTCAGATCAGGTGCAAGAACTGGCGGGACGAGAGTGACAGACTCTCGCGAGATCCGGCAAAGGATCACGGGAAGGGACTTTTCTATGAATTCAAATCTCGTCACTTTGGCGCCAGAGAATTTGCGTTAATCTACTACGGACTGCAGTCTTTTATCCCTCCGACACCGTTTGAGTTGGGACCAAAGAACGACAACTACACCTACAATGTCGTCGTGACCATAACTGACGCAACGGGCGAATCTACAGATGTCATGATACCAGTAAAGGTAAGTCAACGGACGTAAATAAAGGTACGTCAACGTAGTAGACACAGGCATAAGTTTTACAGAGCAGAGAGTACATTTCCTTGCTGTCCATTTTAAAGGAGATGCTAAGAAGGAAGATAGTTCTGAAATGTTTGAATGCTGATGTAGAGTTAGCAGTTAAATTTTGTATCTCGTCTCATTGGTTTAAGCTTCTGTCAATATCGTCACGTTTTAAGCTCTTATCTGGCTGTTGTTAATGTTTTCCCCCGCCGTGTCCAGGTATACCCCGAGCCGATCGTGAATCTGACCTCCACGCTAGAGGAGGTTGTTGGCGGGGCGGAGCTGGAGTCCATGCTGCAGTCCCGAAACATCCAGGCCGCCACACAGCTCATCGTCAGCGTCGCCTCGCTCCTCAACAACCGCGGGGACGACGCCATTGTGGTGAGTTGTACTTGAAAACATCATTTCGGACATTTTCACGGATTATCACTTTCGTGTAAGGAATCCTAGTTTTGGGTAGCTGAGCTGTGGGTTTGTGTATTTGTCCGGACAGAGTAGGTTGACGGCACGAGGGTGGAGAAGGCAGAATGGCAGGAAGTAAATGGTGTTAGATCTGGACGGGAGCTAGAACGGATTCGAGGATTGCATACGTAATACCCAGGCGTCTGAAATCTACTATTTCATATTCGGATTGTGTTTCATTTCTTTTGATTTATGCTTGTGTTGTTGCATTTTGATCTCCCTTCTGATGATATACATGTACATTGTAAATGGGGTGTTAGCCACCACAGGCAAACGAAAAGGACGAATTCATCGGTGTTCATATTTCAGATAGAGAAGACGGAGAAGGAAATCGGCCAACTAGAGGAGGAAGAGGACATTGAAGAAGTCGACGTCGAAGAGAGCGCCGCACCCACAGAAATTGTAACAACTGAGAACGCTACAACCCTTAACATGACCACACTGGCACCCACAGATGTCACCGAAACTAGCACAGCGATGCTGACCACATCGAGTAAGCTCTCTCGTATTTTCCACATATGACCAGTTGAAAGACATGCCAAAGAACAGTTGAATTCAGTACCCCGATATGGGAAGTGTGGTAGAGAGAACTGTGCTAACAGCTTCTTGGTTTTACATAGCTGTTCGTGTGGTCACCGAGGTAAAGACAGAGGTAGACCTGGCGCGGGAACGAGAGCTTGAAGAGGAGCAGACGAGACGACAGGAGGAGGAGGAGGCCCAACTAAAAACCAAGAGGGTTGAGGTGAGTAGGGCCACAGACTTCATGCGGCAGTAGGAGCTGTTGTTGTTATCATGAAAGTTCATCTGTGTTGGTGGTTACATGTTTAGAGTTAAAACTTTAGATCCAACACAAAAGGTTCTCTCACCTAGAGCTTTCGATCAGTCACTCTGGTCTTCCTCAGTAGACTGACCCAGTGAGGCTTGTCACGTGGCTTCATTGAAGTGTGACGTCAACACTGATTGGATTCTTGCAGATGAGAAGCAGCTTGGTGCAGAAGCTGTCCGACTCGTCCAAGAGCATGGGCGGGGTACAGGACCTGGGCGCCGTGCAGCAGTACGCCACGGCCATGAAGGCTGTCACTCAGCGGACTGACGAGGTCAACGAAGGCTCTCAGGTTCAACCTCTACTGGTGTTTGCTATCCGTAGTCCTAACTGTGTTATCAAACCTACATATTGTTTCTAATGCCTTACATGCTTTGTATCTCTTGTTTGAATCTTTCTACAGCTGACCGTAGTGGACGTACTGAAGGATATGGTCAGTGCTTTGTCCACCTTCGCGATCGAGGACGAAACGGACACAGATGACGTCAGAAACGCAGCCAATGGTAGGTCATAATCATCTGCCTCATCAACAAGGCAGTACCAAATTTCGTAATGATGGTAAAATTGGTCAAAGGTAGCAAGAACTTCGTTGGCCTCACTTGCCTCTTCATATACCTTTACAGACATTGTTTTTTTCTCTCACCGCAGACTTGATAGGAGGTCTCGGCAATGTCCTCCAGGCGTCTGTCCTGCCAGTAGAAGGCATTGTGTTGGAACCACAGGAGCTTGGAGTGGAGGAAGACACAGGGGAGACAGACACGCCTCCTGAAAGTAAGCCGAAAGAAGAAACAGCAGAGACGAACGAGGGAGATCTACAAGACGACCAAGAACCTTTGGAGGAACAGAACGTCGAAGAAGTCATCAGAAAACGACACACAGTAAGATACTAAGTATTATTTTTGTATCTTATGATGTAGTATGATGTTTCTGGGTGGGGAGAGGAGAGGGGGAAATCCGTATTTCCTGTACTTTTTTCAGCCTTTATTTATTGAAACTACGTACAAAACTCTTCGGCCTAAGCCGATTTTCAAGAGGTCAAGGTGAGGACGGTCAGGGGTCTTAATTCATCTTTCATCGCTGTTGGTATCAATAACGATAAATAAAACTATATTTGTTATATTTTCCAACAGGCTAAAAAGGTAGCTGAACAAGCCCTACAAGCAGTTGAAGACGTGGCCAGTACGTTGTTCAAGCGGGTCCTGCCAGGAGCGCCCCCTGTGCAGCTCATGTCCCCGACTCTGGAAATGCAGCTGCAGCGGGACGAGCCTTACGCCGTGACGAACAGGAGCATGCGCACGATCAGCGGCAACTTCCTCTTACCCGAGCAAGACGTCATGTTTGCTGACATGAACACAACGGGCGTTCTCGTGGATTGTAAGGTATGTACTTCGGGGACGGAAGTATTGTTTTCGGTCGCGTTGTTTGGCAGTGTGTGTGTGTGTGTGTGTGTGTGTGTGTGTGTGTGTGTGTGTGTGTGTGTGTGTGTGTGTGTGTGTGTGTGTGTGTGTGTGTGTGTGCGTGCGTGTGTGTGTGTGTGTGTGTGTGTGTGTGTCTGTGTGTCTGTGTGTGTGTGTGTGTGTGTGTGTGTGTGGTTTCCGCGCAATTCCAAAACATTCACGGATACCCCAAGCAGCATCTACAAGGGGATAGAGGGATAGAGGGATGGGGGATAGAGGGATAGGGTAGGGGACAGAGGGATAGGTGATAGAGGGAGTAGGGATAGATGGATAGAGGATGGGGATATGGGATAGAGGGATAGATGGATAGATGGAGAGGGGATAGAGGGGTAGGGGGGGGTAGGGGGATAAAATCTCGTTTCTTGTTCGACACCTGTCTTCAAAAACAGTTTGATACGCATACTGTCATTTATCATGCAGTTTTGATATGACGAATCCGTTTACAGGTGTTGGCGATGCCGAAGAATCCGTTCAGTTACGTGGACAGCGCGGCGCTCGTCAAGTCGCCGGTCCTGTCCCTGGAGTTCCGGACTCAGGGCGGCACCGAGCTGGAGATGCGGGGCCTGCGGGACGAGGTGGCGATCGAGCTGAGCAACCCGGCAGATCATCCCCCTCAGGTAGACACGTGGCCTCCTGCGTAGACTTTCTACCGGCTAGCGTTTGTTTCTACGAGCGTGGCTAGAGCGCGGCGGTTTCTTTTCGGGGGGGGGGGCTGTATCTGGGGAAAAGATGTACCAACCCCGCTAAACTGTCGGGAGGAGGAGATTGGTAGGTACGAAATTGCTCGAGAGCTCGGATGGGAATGGCTGCTATTATGCAGAAAATCATGCTAGAAATGCATATTTATGCAAATGTTCTTAGGACGCATACCGTGGTTTAGACATGTTAGATGGAATTCTAAATATGCATTCAACGTTTGAACAGTTCACAGAATTGACCTTCCCACGGCTGAAGATCTACAGCGTGACGTTCCGAGTGCCCACAGACAACAGCTCCGTGCACGTTCTCGTCTACCCCGAGGACCCCGCCGTGACGCTGACGGTGTACCTGCGGCGAGGGGGCAAGGCGACCCCGTGGGACTTCGACTTCCGTGCGGTCATACCCCGTGTGACAGAGAACCACCAGAACAAAACGAGTAAGGCATTTCATATATAATTCATATACCTGTGCGTTTTATCGAGATTGCCATTTTCCAGAATATCTGGAAATCATGTAGATGTTGAGGAATTTTCAGTGCCAATTACCTTTGCCGTCCTATTATCAGTCATATGTAGCTGTATACATGAATTTTACCTTGTACTGTTAACCTACATATTCGACCACACAATAACGTACGGTATAGGTTTTCAAAGAAAAACGAAATCCTCCGCACCTCTCCAATAGATCTATGTGTCAATACCATCGTTAGTTTCTCACGCTTGTACCAGCTGACGTTTTGGTCTCAAACCTACGTTCTCACAGAAACGTTTTACAGTTGGTCTCTAACCTGTGTTTTCCTAGACGTGTGGGCCGTGGATGACTCCACCGCGGCCGACATGCTGCAGACATGGCAGGGCGTGGATCACCAGGCGGCCGACGAGCTGGCTCACACCCTGTTCATACCCGACACAGAACAGCTACAGAAGGGAATCTACTACCTCGGGTTACAAGCAAGAGGTAGGAATATTTGATAAAGCTTCTTTCGAATGAAAGCTCATCTGTGTTGGTAAAATCCATAGTTGTAAAGTTCAGGAGAGTCAGCGAGTGCATCACACATCTGACGAAGGTTGATGAGATCGACCGAAAATTTATGGTGAGTTCCTTTCTTGTGTTGAAACAAAGCTTGAACTTTACAACATCTTCTTTCTTGATGTTGATTATGAGATGCCTACCTTTTTACACGCACTTTCTGTATGATTATTTGCTGGAAACGGTCACGTGGAAATATGTGTGTAACTTTTGTCTTCATGACATGTTACAGTTCTACCAGAAGAAGACCCTCCAGATTCCAACCTTACAGTAAGAGTGGCAACGTTCACGTCAGGGTGTAGGTACTGGGACACACACACGGAAATGTGGCGGCAGAACGGCTGCAGGGTAAGGCCCTTGATATTTGGAAAGACCAAGGAGGTAGGGCAGTCGAAGAAATAAGCAGCAACCTTAGCTACAGTAGTTTTGAGTTAGAGTTGAAGCAGCTAGAGAGAGAGAGAGAGCGAGCGAAACTACTAAAAAGTTAGATCGCGTCCTGCTTTTAAAAATCTTGGTGCCTGCTTTGACCACAAAGTTTAGCTCATGACAGTCAAGAAAGTCTTCATCGCCGGCAATATACCTAGTTTGGATGAATAGCGTAAAGGAACGATAAGGGTTCAAGGTCTGAATGTTACATCGCTGTATTCTCCATTACATCCGCTAGGTGAGCCCCATGTCCACGGTCAAAACAACAAAGTGTCTATGCTCTCACCTGACGTCATTCGGGAGTGACTTCGTCGTCCCTCCGAACACCATCGACTTCTCCACGGTGTTCTCCAAGTTCGCGTCCCTGAGTGACAACGCGCCGGTCTTCTCCACCGTCCTGTCTATCATCGGGCTGTACTGCATTGTCGTGGGGCTGGCGAGGAGGGCCGACCGGAAAGACATCGTTAAGGTAACCACTTAAGCTATGAAATCTTGTTCTATGATCAGTAGCAGTGTAAGTACCACAAGACACCAAAAACACTGAAAATAGTTAATATGATAGATTTTCTTTAATAAATTAAGGCATTTGGACAAAAATACACTTTGCTTTTCTTGTGTTAGGAAACATCTAATATTGCAAATCATCCTTCCAGTTCTTGATTTCTACCCTCAGGTAACTCAATTAAATTCAATATCATCATATGATATTTATGATGCATGAAAACCCAGACATAAAGAGTACTTTTTGATGATTATATATGTAACGTTCTGTATTCTTGTCACATTTTCTATCCGTTTTTTTTTCTGAAAGGCAAACTGTATGCTGTCAAGAAATAATACTGATACTAACCATTTTCTCTGTGCGTCTTTAGTGGGGCGTGTCACCGCTCGTCGACAACGACGTCCGACACTCGTACCACTACCAGCTGGCGGTCTACACGGGCATGCGCAAGGACGCGGGGACTCGGTCCGGTATCGGGTTCGTCTTGTCCAGCGACAAGGGTGACACCGGGACCAGGAGACTGGACGACAAGGGGAAGAAGGTACCCCAAGATCAGGACAAACTGCAAAGTTTCAACTTGCTTTCTCAACTCAACCATCTGAATATCAGCATGATACACCGCCCACCTCCTTTAAAACATAGAAATGCAAAAATATACATAAAATTTCAAATATTTGACGGAAATACAGCCACTTTCTCATTGGTCAAACCGATAATTTCAATGCTAGACCACCGATGCTAACCCTGGTGACCGCCCACCTCCCTCGAAACGTAGAAATGCAAAATATACACATAAAATTGCAAACATTTGACGGAAATGCAGTCACTTTCTCATTGGTAAAACCGATAATTTCAATGCTATCATTGGTCTCCCAACTCTGACAGTTAATAGAGCGTATTGAGGCAAGCATGGGAAGAATATCTAAGGGAAGAATATCTACGGAAGATCAACATGACAGGAAACGGTTAACGATTTCTTTACATGCTAAAATATGTAACAATTTTCCACAGTACCTTTTACAACTGCAACTTTCACCACAGGTTTTTGATCGCGGCAGCGTCAACAACTTTCTCCTGAGCGTCCCCCGTTGCCTAGGCAACCTGCAGTACCTCCGCGTTTGGCACGACAACTCCGGAAAAGGCCGCAATGCATCTTGGTTCCTTGACAAGATCATCATCACAGATCTACAAACGGAAAAGCGGTGAGTCACAAAGAGAGAGTTAACATCGCAACCGTAAAATTCTTTGGCTCATGTCTTTTCACTGTTATCATCTTTCACATAATAAGCAAAAAAAGAAGAGATTGTGTAACAAAGGAAACAAGAGCAAACTTGCAATTGTATGTATTCACGAGAATCATCTGTTTGAATTTATCCCAATTTCCCAAAACGTACAGACAAATAAAAAACTATTCTTCTTTTAACTTCCCAAAACCCACAATTTTTTAGAAAAGGTGGGACATTACGTCTTCCATGGTTTACAAAAGAGAAGTCAAACCCTTCAGACATAGTTCTAGATATAGCAATAGTTTTAGCAATAGTTAGCAATTAGCGATATTTCATTGTCATTGGTTTCATATATTAAATTGCATGTTTCTGCAGGACGTACTTTTTCTGTGGCCAGTGGCTGGCGGTGGAGGAAGGTGACGGGGTGGTGGAGCGCCTCCTACCGGCGGCAGGAGAGGAGGACGTCCTGCAGTTCCAGAACCTCTTCGTCTCCAACTCTCGCAAAAACATGACCGACGGGCATCTATGGATGTCGGTTCGTGTAGTAACAGTGTAGAGGGTTTTAACAAACTGTTTAAAAATCGGGCTTCCTTTTATATTACCAGATTCTGTGTCGTTATCGTTTCAATATCATTGCCTTAACTGAAAAAAGTGCAGCGTCGTTTTGTAAGCTTTCTGTGTGACGGCCCGGTCACATATATCGCACGGGTCTCCAGAAATTGCGAAATTTTCGCATATTTTCGCATTTTCTGGAGACCCTACCGCACTATCGTCCTACGATGTGGGCGCATTCTCGGGATAGTCGTGCATGTGTCCTGCAAAATTTAGCTGTCTTGTTACAAAATACGCTGCCATAAATCATTGCCCCATTGTGGTTGAGAGCCTTTCATGGCTTGATTAGAATTCGTCATCCGAATCGTACGACGACCGATGACCAAAGTCACCGTGCCATGACCTTGCTCCTAGGCGGATCTGCCTGTATGTTCTTCCCGTGCAGGTGCTGTCCCGGCCCACCCGCAGTACGTTCACCCGGGTACAGCGGGCGTCCTGCTGCCTGCTCCTGCTCTTCACCAGTATGATCACCAGCTGTATGTTCTACCAGGCACCACTGGACCCGGACGCACCCGGTCTGCACCTGGGACTGTTCTCCATCACATATCAAGAGCTCTCCATCAGCATACAGGTGACAATATGCCCGTCGTAGTCATTGTTACAATACGGCACATTGTAACGGATGTAGGGGACCCAGACGTCTGTATCTGCCTCCGTCCCGGCCTTCGTGCTATTGTTTCATTAACATGTGCACTGTTCCTATCATAACAAAGCATGTAACGATAGTTACACATATGTTTTAATACCAACAGTATTTAACATCTTCCTAGATCCCCAACATTAACATTGTCCGCTATCATGTCATACTGATACATGTATAATTAAGCAACCGCATCACTTCTAGATGCCACCAACTGTAACAGATTTTTATTGTAGAGCCACTATCTGTTGCTATCGTAATTTCGTCAGTTATCAATGAGACAATTGTATTGATATCTTAAAGGTTCTCTGCTTACATAATTTAAAGAAACTACTATTTGAGGTGTCTGCTCAATGTCTTACAGAGCACGCTTGTCGTACTACCGGTCAACCTCCTTGTGGTCAACATCTTCCGTAAGCTACGTGCCAAGGATCAGGTGGCTCCAAGCAAAGGGAATTACGGCAAGAATATCAAAGCAGTAAGTTCGTCATCACTGACGAAAAGGGACACCGAGAAGCCCCGTGAAAAGTCATCAAACAAGGAGAAAGAAAACAACAAACCAGACGAGACAGAACATACACAAAATCTACATACGAAAGATGTAGGGTCGCCGCACAAAATGTCTACAACTTTGACAAAAGAACAAGATCCGCAGCCAGACTGTCCCAGTCCGCAACTACCGAGGAAAAGTCAAGGAAAAGGGGATTCGGGAAGGGCAAAAAATGAAGACCAATCCCTGCCATCATTGGCCGATAGAAATGAACAACCGCCAGTGCAACAGACTTGTGAAGGTTCGAAAACTGAAGCTTCGACACCACACAACGTTGTGCAGCACGTGAGGACTCTACACGGGGAAGAGACCAAGACACTCAGGAGGCGACGGTCTAGAGACGCGCTCGCAGCAACCAATAATCAACAATACTGCGTTTCCACTAGCTTAATTGTACCGTTAGAAGATAGTCACACTGAAAATGATACAAATCTTGATTTTGAAGAGACAAGCAATGTGCAAAGTGGTAGTACGCCAAGAGTCCGGGCTAAACCATCTAAGATTGAGCCGACCCCTCGTGGATTGGAGAAGCGTAGACAGGCTCTCAAACGCACGTCATCATTGCCAAGGTCAAACGCAATCCTTCCCTATGACGACTCTGAAGCCCCTATGGCCCAGTCAGTGTCAACTGAGTCACTCCACACTTCAGGAGACAAACAACTGAAACCTCTCCACGTTCGCTTAGAAGAAAGCGTAGCCCGATTCGAAGAGGCCAAAAGACGCGAAGAGAAGAACAAAACATCAGAGAAAAAGAAGGCAAAGCCCGAGACCAAGAAGAAGAAGCAAACAGCAAAGAAAAATAAGCCGTTCCTGCTGCCCCATTGGTTCTTGTGGGTTGCGTACGTTATTGTGTACGGTGGCGCTATGATGTCTGGGTTCTTTACCATACTGTACTCGCTGGAGTGGGGGTACAACAAGTCCACCCAGTGGCTGGTTACCTTCTTGTTGTCCTTCTTCCAGGACGCTTTGGTAGTGCAACCAGTAAAAGTAAGTATGTTCTTGTTATTCTATTATCAGTTCTTTCCAATCTCTATACAAGCAATTGTAGTATTGGCATTTCTATACAGATTAAATCAATTTTTTAATGATTTCTTATGTTAAATTTTAGAAGATACATTTATTGCTAGTTGTAGATTGAGTTTTTTGAATGTCGTTTGCCTCTGTTAGTGATTTTGTTTTTTTACAGGTAATGGTTGTTTTGATTATCTATTATAGTACACGTTCCGTCCCACTCTAGGTGGTAGTGATGGCCGCTCTGGTGTCGCTGATAGTTAAGAAGTCAGACGAAGAAGAAACAGAAAAGGAGGACGACAATAATCAGCTGGGCGAAGACGAAGAGGCCGAGGCAGAAGTTCCTGACAGAAACACCCAACGTTTGTACTTTTTTGTTGTTTTTCTGCAACATTTCCAAATCATATTCAAAACATCTGGAGCATGTGGTTGGCGGATTCACAGACGTGTGTAGTTCGACAAGTCCTGTCTACCACTCTCATCATTCCATCTCATCTATCCCTTAGTCTAATTATTCGACAGTTGGGGCACCACAGACGATCTGACAACCAGTTCTCTCCACCCTTCTCAGTTTTCTGTTCCTTCTAACGTTTCATTTGCTGTCAATCAAAAACACCGCTGCTATCAGTCGAACATTCAGTCCCATCTTTTCTTTTTATGTTTACCGAAGGAAAACATTATTTTTGCTCAGTTTCTTCCTCTTCTTCTCCAAACAGTGACCTCTGACCTGGCCAATGGCCTCATTTGTTGACGTCTGTCACCATAGTAACCGGTGTTGGGTTTATATAATGTTGCAATTTCTTAGTAGACATGTAGACTCCTGTCACCATATACATGTATGTGAATGTGTTTGAGTAAGAATTAACAGAGCAGACCATATCCGAAGGTAAACATTATGCGTTTGCTTTGCAAATGTTACTTTTCTAGTTTTTTACTGTCTTCTCCACCAGGTGGCCCTCATCCGCAGCCCCCGAAGCAGGACCGTCTCCGCTCGGCTCGAGAGGTCAGGATCAAGGAGCTGAAGATGGAGGACGTGGTGAGGACCTCGGCACTTCACCTGGCTTTCCTGGCGGTCATCGTCACCGTCAGTCTGTACAACAGGGGCGACCACGCGTACTACCTGCACCGGTCTGTCACCAACACCTTCCTGGAGAACAGGCAGTTCAAGCAGGTTTGAGATCAGTATTTCAATCGTAGTTTCAATACAACGCATTGTAATGAATCTAGTATGTATCGGCCTCCGTCCCGGTTGAAAGAAGATGGGTCTTTCTGCTCATATTGTTCAGGAATGATAGTTCCATCGCTCTTATTACTTCCGGGCACGGAGTATTGTTTTGAGTGGCTGGGCTGTGGTTTTGTGTATCAGTTTGTCCAGACAGAGTAAGTTGACAGCACGTGGGTGGGGGAAAGATTGACAGGAAGAAGGACTCAATAATAACTCAACGGTCTCATTGGCCGGGTTCCAGCCGGTCGACATGGGGAGATTTAAGGATCCGAGGATCGCGTACTTCTCGGGAACCTCGGATTTCTTGTTGTTGATGTAGTGAATAACGAAGCCCCAGTTATGCTGCTGATGACTGCCAGATTATGTTGTCTCACAGATACACACAGTGGACGGTTTGTGGACGTGGACAGAGGAGGTACTACTACCGAACCTGTACCCTGACGTAACCTGTAGCAACACCAGTGTTCCACTACGTGACAGAAAGTTCATCTCCGATGGGACTTCTTTCCGAGTGGGAAGAGTTCGACTGCGACAGCTTAGAGTCACACCAAGTAAAGTGCAACTTTGATAGTAAATGTGCCTAAGAATATCTTCAATTCATTAAATGGCATTGTCATCGTGTTTTTGCGTTTGACTTTATGGTATCTTTTATGGTATGTTATATCTCAACTTGTATTTGTGTAGCAGACCAGTGCCTAATACCTGTGGTGATGAGAGCAACTGTCCCGAAGTGCAACGTGGACTACTCCTGGACCAATGAGGACACGCGTTCCATGTCACAAGGATGGGTACCTCAGACAGACCTCAGTAACCATAGAAATAATACCAATCATGCCATGACGACGCCAAAGACGGAAGACCTGGCTCCCTGGAGGTACGAAGACGCCATTGATTTAACCTCAGCGGCCTTTTATGGTGAATTACATCTTTACAGAGGTGGTGGATACGCTGTTGTCTTAAAGAACAACGCAAAGCGTGCTAAGACGCAGCTTTCTGGTCTCAAGAAAACTGCCTGGCTGGACAAGTACACGCGTGCTGTGTTCGTCGAGTTTTCTCTCTACAGTCCTCCGTCCAGTCTTTTCATGGCAGTGACAATCGTCCTGGAGTTTACAACCGTTGGTGACGTCACTAGGTATCCCAGAATCCAAAGCGTCCGACTGTACGGTGTTGATCCCGTGATCATCACGTGCAAGGCCCTGTACTGCCTGTTCGTGCTGTATTTCATTGGACGCGAGGGGCGGAGGATCAGACGAAAAGGCAGGGAATATTTCAGAAGCTTTTGGAACTGCGTAGAGATACCGTTCATTGTACTGGAGGTAGCGGCTGTTGCACTGTACGGAGTAAGAACGGCTTTCTGTAACGACGTTCTGGATAAATTGAACGAAAGAGGTGGTTTCGTTAACTTCCAGTCTGCCGCTTGGTGGAACGATGTCTACAGTTACGTCCTCGCCTGTTTGGTGTTCGCCTCCATAGCCAAGTTTCTGACGCTCTTGCGATTCAACGGACGGATGGCCATGCTTTCCTACGTCATCAGACGGGCGACCAATGAGCTGGTCCATTTCACCGTCATGTTCTTCGTCATCTTCTTGGCGTACTGTCAGGTCACATACCTCCTGCTGGGGACGACTCTAGCCGGGTTTGGGACTTTTCAGGTACGTAAAGTCTATCTGCTTCATATGGATGTTCATATGGAAAAATCCAAGGGTGACCATAGTGGTCCAAGAGTGTCCGCTAGAGCAAGTCTTACTTCATGCCTGTAGCCAGAGGGGGAGGGAGGTCGGAAGGCTCAAAGGTCCACTTTTTATCTAAAGGTCCAATATTTTTATTTAAAAGATGGACTGATTTGTATCACCACCAGGGCTGGAATCGTAGAAAAACTGCTCACTTTGTCATTGAATAAAAATTTATGTCTGATTTTTCCTTAGAAATCTTCTCAAAAACACAGGAAATGCCATTTCAGAGGGTACAATGTTCAAAATTTTCCGGAACCCCCTTGGAAACTCGCAGACCTTGAGAAGACCCCCCCCCCTTAAAATTCTGTCTACGGGCATGTACTATGCTAAAAAAAACTCCTTTCTGCACACGTACAAAATGTAGGCCAGCCTGGAGATGATGTTTGCGATTCTCCTGGGTGACGTGGACCTGTCCTGGGTGCTGAAGGCGAGTCCGCTCAGCTGTGTCTTCCTCCTCACCTTCATCCTCACACTGGTGATGGTCATTGTCAACATGTTCCTGGCTATACTCGTGGATTCCATCAAACATGTCAAGGTTAGAAAGTACAACGTCTATTATGCTACCTTTATAGAAGGAAACATATCGTTTTGCTCCATTTCTTCTTCTTCTTCCATAAAATGAATTACACTGTACCTTTAAGATGACTATACATGACGCTGTAACAGATGCCCTGTGGTGTTGGATTACATTATGTAGCAAGTGGCTGGGCAAAGTTGGGGCTGGTCATCATATATACAGGTATATGAATTGTTTAAGTGAGAATAAACAGAGCAATAATTTATTAGGCTAGACCTTGTGTAGGTAAGTACATGTATTATGTATTTGCTTTGCAAATATTACCTTTCTAGCTAGCTAGGAACCGTTTCAATATGTTTGTCTACAATATACAATATCACTTGGCATCAACATGCCCAAAGATACTACCAACACTGGCACAGTATATACTAGTACTGTTCTCTTGTTACTGTATGATGATATGACAATGACCTACCATTTTCAATATCCTTAAGGATGATGTAAGAAGGCTGAAGAAGGAGAATGAATTGACAGACTTCATGATCCACCGTCTTAAGACAATGTTCAAGTTGACAGATAAGACGTCACTTCCATCCATCAAGACCACAACTCCCCAACCGGAACCCAAACCATCCATCCGCACCACTCACGAGGTACTGTGCGTTTTATAATATATCATTACACATTTGCTCCAAAAAATATTCAAGCAAGTGACGCCTGTGGATGATTGATTGATTGATTGATTGATTGATTGATTGATTGATTTTGTCGATTCTTACCATGACCAACCGAGGACAGTGAGCCTTATATGAACCAATCCATCTGTTACAGGTGGCTACTTGTCCTTTGCCCTCCTCCCGGACTATACCAGATGTTGAGAACACAACAAAAGAAAAGGAAAAAGAAGGTATATTGTATTTATTTCATACCAACGGCCCCAGTTGCTCGACACGTAAATATTTGTAATTCTCAGGCCTAAATTGTATGTGTGCTACATGAAAATTTCGTAAATCTTTTTTTTTTTGCCAGCATCCATCAGGAATAATCTAAAACCTGCTAAAACAATGTGAATGTTCAAAGTACACATCTAAAACAACCTACTTTATTCCCAGTCGCAGAGACAAGCCAGATGAATGAACCAGTGGAGAACCCTACCGACCCAGCTGACGCCTTCGACGTTACGGACCTCCCGGGGAGAGTTGAACATCTTTTGCACTATGTGTACGGCCAGTATGGCGGTGATATTACGGTAGACCAACCGCAAAACACCATGCAGGCTTCCTCTCCTTCAGAGACTCCAGATTCAGAAGATGTTGACGATGAGCTCAAGTACCTTCGCAATGATGAAAGTCCTACAGCCAGCCTGGACAGCTTCGAATTGCAGCTGCAGCACGGCCAGACACCGCTAGGGCATCCAAGAGACCAAATTCGCACGACGTCTAGAGGTAACACACCACCAGACCGAGCATCAGTGAGCCCAGTGACGCCTAGAGAAGGTCCGTCGCCCCAAAGTTATGGAAGCAAGACCCCGTCTCCGGTGGGAGGTGCAGTTCGGTCAACTCCTCCTGCCAAGAGTGACACAAAGAAATCTTCTAAGAGCGATGAAAAGAGGTTTTATCACAAGGTCAGTACGTCGCTGTCGGTTGATGTGGTGGTCCACATTGCCTCCAAAGAATCGTCTGTTGCGGAGGATTTGACTGACCCTGACCCAGACAGACCCAAGAAAAATCTGGATGTAGACACTCTTTCCTCCAAGCCTCCCATATCACCAAGGGTGCCAAGCACCCATAAGAAGCAAAATGCCGACAAGAAGAGGCCTCGTTCTGATCGCAGACAGAAGATGACTCGAAGAAGCTCCGTGTCCCCGAAAAGAGACTCGCAAAGAGATGTCAAGAAGTCGGAGTACGAGGATTTTGGCGACGCCTCGTGGGGTCGTGCCGGAGCCAGATCTGCGACAAGCAGTCCCGTGGATACCGACTGTCCGTCACCCCCGTACCCTCCACCGCCACGACCGTTTCTCCCGTCCCGGGAAGGTAGCACGACCGTCCAGCTGGCTACGGGCTGGCGTCGCCCCCGGGTTCAGAAGCTGAAATTCCGCCACTCCATGGCTGGGAACATTTCGGAGGTCGGCGATTCAGACAAAGCATCGGGTCTACCTGCCTTCACACCGCGCCACAGTCCTGAACTCACCCCCAGGACGGAGTCACCAACAAAGGATAAGGAGGAAGATTCCAAGCGGCAAAATACACCTAGAGAGGAGGAGTACTTAGAGGACGACGATAACCCTTGGCCAACGGAAGAGGCGTCAAGTGATATGGAAGAGGATGATGACGTAGAAGGTCCCTAAATTGGGCTAACTTGAAGTTCCCAACAAGCATACGTGTAACAGTATTTCCTTAATCAGGTGCACTTATATAATCTGTAAATGCACAAATTCATCAAATTTTCAAATATGTGCATACTCTACTGACAGCCACAAAGTCTGTGGGCCATTGAAGTGTTCTGTGAAGTGTTAAAAACCCTTTTCAAGCAGGACTAAATACTAACTCCTCAATATAGATAAAAGGGCATGTATATTATATTGTCATGTTAAACATTCAAGAAAATGCCAACAATTCTGCAGAAATTCTGCTAGAAATTTGCAAGTAGGTACCATGACTGCTATAAGTAATGTAGACTTGCACACCTTTCTTATGTTTCACTGATTGTCAATCATACGACACAGCTCAAACACTGAGCCAAGGCTTTGGCATGGGAATGTGGAATTACTACTTTATCTTTGGTGTAAGATTAAAACTTTCAATGTTAGTAAAAGCTTGTGTTATAATTGTTATTATGTATCTAATATTTACAGGATCTTACCCATCTTCAGACTAATCCTTCACCGTAATAAATGGTTTACTAAACTGACGTTCATACGTCTGTTGTGTGATTTGGGAATGCTTGCGCAAGGGGATAAATACCAAATGTGATGCTTCTTTGCAATTCACGCAAGAAGGCAGCTATGCAATGGGCTGATTTTGAATTCAGCCCTGAATCTATGTGGTGTACTAAAAAAAAGAATTACACAAGTTGATGTCAGTCCACACAGGCAAACATTTAATATTCCATTTACATGTACAACAGAGATTCAAAAACCAAATTATAACAAAAGCTTTAATTTTACACAACTGGACTGAATGAACAAAATATACAAAGTACCTGCAGCCATTAACACATAAAGATCTTCTATAAATAAGTTACAAAGACAATAGCTAGATACTAACAGACTCATACCTTCAACATCATAGCACCTTGACTAAATTTTAAAGTGGTCCTATCTCACATTATCATGAAGAGAGTCTGTCTGTGGTATTTTATCACTAATAGCCTACTGATATTCAATAACAAATAAATCTGGGAGTGGGAATGGCACATGTTTGCCACAGCACTCATACCCACTTTCAACACCCACGACTTGTAGGATACTTTGTGTATCTTGGATATAATGACAACTTCAGTAGCTCCAGGGCTGAGTGTGGAGATGAGAATTTGTAAGTTTGGTCAAAATCCTTACATACTACAGGACAGAAAAAGATACTCTGCCAGCTGCAGGTAATGCCTGTGTTGGTGTAACCTTATACAGGCTATACCAGCTATACATATATCTGTGTATGCCATGTAATATGTAACAGGCCACAATGACTTAATTGCATGGATGACACCCATGGACACATCAATTTTCATCTACTTAAAAAAAAAGCTTGCAACCATACTACAGGTAAACAAGGGATGACAAAGGTCAAAAAGGAAAATAATGCCAGAAGAAGGAAAGCAGGGATCAAACTACAACTGAATTTCACCATCAACTCTTCAAGAAGATGTGAAAGAACAAATATAAAGTTTGGTTGGTATACCATGTTCTGTGTGTTCAGTCATTTCTTAAACCTTCCTGACCATTAGATTTATAAATGAACTTTTCTTTTTTCCTCAGTTTTGGGGTGTACAGAGGATGTCATCCATATATCAAATCAGTATGGCCTTATGCACCCTCAGCTATTCATACATGTATATAATATTATCTATATTAATGTCATTCATCTCCACCTGAGCCCACATCCTCTTCCTCCCCCTCTTCTTCATCCTCGTCAGGGTCAGTGAAGTCGTCCCGTTTGGAGTAGTTAAACGTGGTCTGGGAGAGATCCACCTCGATGGGGAAGACATCGGTCTCCTTCATGATGGCGTGACAGTCGTTGTGATATTTGGCCATGGCTGACACCAGCCGCTGTAACTGGAACACGATGTCTTGTACTGTAGGGGAGGGAACACTGGGTAAGACTCCTGTCTGCAGCACTTTCAACTCCAGACTGGGAATACTGAGCGACCAAAAATTGGACAGATTTCAAAGATAAGGAACATATTTTCTTATGTTTACTGCAGGAAAACATAGTGTTTTTGCTCACTTTCTTCCTCTTCTTCTTCTACAAAAAAATATGGTCAATGATGACCTGAACCAGACGTCTATCACCATGGTAACTAGTGTTGGGTTACATCATGTTGCAATTTTATAGCAGGAGGGATTTAATAGGCTCCTGTCACCATAAATATGAATGTGTTGGAGTAAGAATTAACAGGGCAGACCATATTGGAAGGTACATGTTTTGTATGCTTGTTATCTTTTGAATCATACCTTTAACATCATGCATCATACTTAGTATTTCTATCATCAAATTAAGTGTCACAAAAATCCAATTTTGGTCACTCAGCGACAATCTAACCTTCTTATCTTCAAGAACTTGTGAATGAAAATGGAGACATTATAAGAACAACTCACCATGTTTCTGATCCAACAACTCAATTTTTTCCAAAACGTCGGCACGCAACTTGGCAAACTTGGCCCGAGCCTCCTGACGACATCGCAGCACCAACCTTTGAAAAAGTTTCAGTTCAAACATTATCTTTCCAGGGGTGAGACGACTATTTAGTCTGTATAAAGCATCTATAAGGATGCCAAGGGAAAGCATAGTTTTTTTTCACGTCTATGACAAGTTGTTTAAAGCAAATGCTGGCCAATAGTAAATGTTGTTATGCAAGCTGTAGTTAAGCAAGCTTAAGAAGCCACAATGCTCTTGCAGCTATCAAAAAAATCATCAAGCAATACCCTTTGACAGAAGAAGAGGAAACACTCTTTCACAGCAATGGTGTTGGAAGGTTGACATCATACAAAAAAAACTTACCTATATTCATAGTTACCAGTCTCCACTCTGTACAGGGGCTCTTGTAATGCCTGTTCAGAGAAAAAAGTAAATCGAATCAAAATAGGCCTTTGGGATTTCTGTGTAATGTTGATTCTTATCACTTTGTGTCTACCCAAATTTCAGTAAACCAGAGATCTCCTACTTCTATTACCTTGGTCTAATACCGTTGCTTTCTTGTACTAACTTCATATCAGACAACCACACATACTACTAAGACATCAATGTGAGTAGAGTTGTGGACACTGTACAATGCAGAAATAAATCTAATGCAATGCAGAAAAACTCTTAATGGCTTTCTGTTCTCTTCTGCTGCAGGTTCTACTTACAGCATAGCTGTACTCCTCATCATCCATTTCTTTCACCTTCAGACAAAAGGACTGCAAGAAAATACAAATTACATTGATGGTATTTAGTATTTTGTACATGTAATATCAACAGTTTCTTTTTCTGTCAAGCACATTTCAAAAGAAAGATGACAAAGGAAAATATGGAAGAACTTCCACTCACCAGGTACTCAAACTTGGCATCCAGATACTTTTTGATAGTCAGCTTGGTATCAGGGACTGCCTGTGGTACACAAAATGAACAGTCACATGATGATTTTGGAATAGGAATTACTACGAGTACTAATAGTGCTACAATATTGCAGTATGTTGTTGCAGGGTATGTGCTACTAATAACAGCCACTGCAAATTTCATATAATACTATGTAAGTTTAAATGTATACTAACCTTGTTAAGATAGGTGTTCAGGTCACTCAGCATCTGTCAGGGGTGAAAATATAACGGTGAGCAATAACATCTACCAACGGTCAAGCATGTGGTGTCCACTGTTTGAGATGATGTGATCACTTGGCTTAGTATACAGGCTTTCAACTTGAAAACAAATACATGTTAAAACTGAAATGCTGTTGAATTTCAGCGCAACTAAATGGTAAGATGTTGATAGAGTCACTCACTCTTCTTTGATATAAACCTCAATTGAAAACAAATCTACATCCAACGAAAAAGAAGTTTGCTTGAATACATGACTTACTGGTTTGATAGTCTTCAGGTATCTGATGCCGTACTTCTCCATGTTTCTGGGGGAAAACAGAACAACTTAAATCACACTTCGGGGATGACTTATACAGTTTAACACTTATTTTGGCAACATCATACGCATTCCTTAGAAAAATATGATGATGTCATGCTTAATTGCCTCACAAAATCAAATATCCTAATAGCCTATTGACCTTCAGGAAATAAGCCGGAACAGTGTTTCTGTCTAATGTAAAGAACACTGCATATACATGACTTGTACATGAAGGTTACAGTCAAACAAACTACACTACAAGTCTTATCAAACTATCATTTACAATGTACCTTATCCCACGAGAAAGGACAAACTAGTGAAAGCATACATTGAAGCTAGTATATAGTCCTAGGTCTCTTTATTCAATAACCAGTGCAATTTTACATCCAACATTTCAGTGACTGTCTGTTACCTTCTTTAGGACAACAATGACTGGTTTTGATTCGTACTGCAGCTAGCTATAGGTGTCTGAGAAGATCACCAAAACATTGGATGTAAAATAAAAATTGTTATAATAATTGAATAAAGAACCTTCTTATACAGTCTCTAAATTGTTCATTAAGGCCACACCTATTTAATTTATTGTTTCTCAGATTTTTTCAAAAAAATATGAATCGACAGGGCGAAAAAAAATAAAAACAGGTCAAGGCATCCTATTATAGCCCCAAATGCTACAATAGGAACCATGAAGTCAACACAAAAGGCTGGGTTAATATTTAAACAATGAATCTTGTACTTTTAATCAAACCACTGCATTGATAGATGGAAAAACTGTAACATCTAGGAAGAAAAGACTTCCCTCAACTGTTGGGGGCTAAAGATGAGCATTTTTGAGTTGATTCAGAACCAGAATCTTTTTTTTTTTTTTGCAAATCAGAAAAAAATTAAGAGATGAATCCCAGAACCAACAAATTAAATTGGTGTAGCCTAAAGAAATGCTATTCTGCACACTAAGAGCCACCATGATTAGGAAACAGGAGGACTACAGTGTTGAGGTGAGTGATGAAGCAGTGCTGTGTGTACCTCTGGGCCTCCCCAAAGGCCAGGAAAGCTTCGTTAGCACCGGCCACTTGTTCTCGCATCCCCACATCACAAAACACATCACCAAACTCTACATGTGGACACCAGGAGGGCAAGGAAAGCATGCAGGGTGTTAGTATAGAGATAAGAGAGACCACTGCACTAGCTATAGTGCCCTTTTTTACCAGATGGACAGCAAGTCTGTGTGTGTAATCTGCACTCTTGGAATGTATGTTGAATGTATAATGTTGTATGGTATGGTATGTGTTACAGCATCTTTTGGTGTCATTCAAAAGATTTCCTGTTTCTCAGTCCGCAGCTTTTAGTTTGTATTGAGAAATTTTAAGACCATTCATTTCTTGACCCCCTCTCCCCCCCCCCAAAAAAATGTCGCAATTCACAAATAAGCAGGAATGAGTTTCAGTTGATCAAAAAGACCAGCAAACAAAAGGTGGTGGGTGTTATGAGAGAGAAATCGAATTGTCAACTGTTGCAATTGTGGCTGTCAAGAAACAAGAAATCCTTTTAGATTATGTATGTAGTCAGTCTAGACATGGACATGTCACACACTTGGATCAGCAACGACGACTGGAAACATCAGGCACCACCAACAACCACTGAAGGAAGGAACATGGAAGAAAGAAGTGTATAAAAGCAGAATGGTGGTGACCTGCATGAAAAAAAACCAAGGTAAGAATCGAGATGAGCACTTATGTTATGGTTGTTGACATTCCTTAGTTGTGAACTGTGTATAGGTGACTGTGTGTTCCCAAGGTTAGGACAGGAACAGTATCTGCTGCTCTTGTGTTGGTGTTGTGTTGATGTTACGAGAGAGAGGTGGTTAGTAGTTGAAGGATGGTTAGTTCAGTGAAGTGTGCTGCACACATCACTGCAGCCATCCCACAGTGCACCGTTTGTTACCTGTGTGCCTCGGCAAACTTTGTGAATGCCTCGCTAGCGGCGACCTGGGGCTCACGGGCACCGATCACTGAAAACACATCTCCAAATGCTGCAAAGAGATGCAGTGATATACATCAATCAACAGTTCACAAAAGAAAACATTAGACAACATAAAATACAAATTCAGACATATAGCCTTGGATAATAAACGCTTGATATCCTGGCAAAAATTGAATGAACATACAATAAAGATTCATGTTGCTATTATAGAATGATTATCATCACCATTTAACTCTCTTCCATCCAATAATTATGTCATTGCCAATACTGATTAAATCTACAAGACATACATGCAGACAAAGAAAATGAGCAGTTCACAAAATTTGTTGTAGGAAAAAAAACATGAAAAAACGAAAAAGACGAAAATGTAAAGGAATTAATTTGACTAGATTATTCGCCTGCAAACCATACTCTGTGTCATTTGTTCAACCTTCAAAACCACGTAGATTTCATAATGAAAGCAACTTTTTTTGGCCATACTTTTTTTTTATTTTGCATGCTCGCATCAGTTTTTGGGTTCCCAGAGGATGTCATCAATATAATCAAATCAACAAGGCCTAACCTACATTTCAGAACGCTAACCCTCACCCTAGGTTTTGCCTAGCCTTTAATTCATATCCATGATATTTGTCTATCATATTCTGGGACATCTCCCACCTTTGTGTGTTTGGGACAGTTCGTAGCAGGCTCTCATCATCTTCTTGGTGTGCTCAGCCAGCCCGTGGTACATGCCTGCTGTTCTCTCCAGGTCCTGCAGTTTCTTCACTAGTCCATCTGTGGGGGGAGCCACAAGTCTAGTCAACATAACATTTCAACACACAGTACTGTAATTCACTTTATATTCATGGTAGCAAAGGCCTGAGAAAAATGGACATGTTCATGGAACTATATATTCACGGTGGCGAAAGGTGCAGGAAAAAGAAAGTCCAGGAATTAGTTGTTAACTGTAATGATAAAGGCCTAGAAAAATTAATGTTGTGTTTCCGTGAATGGTGTGTAGAACTGGTACCAAGGACAGATCTTCTGCTGACCCTGCTAGAAGGCATGATGTGACCGACTGACCGTTGACTGACCCCAACCTACTTTCAGGACACACTAATTATGTAGGTCTTCATCATCATTATCTGTCAACCCTCGAGGACGGAGTTAGCCGCTGCACCTCTATTGTAGACTTCACCCGGTCTGCCATGACTGACTCTTGATACTAGCCTGACTGGTTTGAACACCATTTTACTCAGGGCTTGCATGCGCTTCACAAAATACATCCGTATCTGACCTGATATGGCTAAACAAATACCAGGCATAACTTTTACTACTATAAATCAAAATCAGGCAAATATGTGTTGTCTTGGGCACTTGTCAATGTAGACTCCAAGGGGGATTAGTATATGGGTTTAACTTATCAAAATTCTCTCATATCCTCCAGGTTATGTGGAAATTTCCAGACCAATGTTCTCAAAAGCACACTTTCACCTGATAGCTCATCCAAATTGCTTCCCCAATCAGATCCCAGCCTTTTTTCTAGCAGAATCGAGCTGCATCCATGGTTAGCCTCTCACAGTTCAGCCCCAAGCAAATAAAACAGAAAGCTGTCCTTCCAAACAAGAAAAACATACAGCAGCAGTTTTCCTTACCATTACACAAGATGGCACGACTCAGTCCCAGAGCATCTGCAGTACTGGAACTCATGTTCTCCACAAACTTGTGTTTGATTTTCTTCAACACTGGGGAAAACAATTATGATTTTTAATAGTAAGAATGATATTGATATCAACATTACAGTAATTACAGTATATATAAGATTTGGCAGATCTGTTAGGACAGTTTACATTTATATAATTCACAGTAAAAGAAGAAAATTTATTTTCTTACGTCTTACCTATGTCCAGTGTCTTGCCTTGTTTGGGATCTGCCTTCAGTTTGTTATAGTTGATGGTCACTTCACCCTGAAACAGACAAAACAGAAGATAAAACTTCACCTACTGAGTATTAAGGGACTTAGAATCTAGACTAGACTAAATTCTAACAGTAACACTCAGGGATGTCCCGATGGCCACTGACCACTAAAATATAGGCCAGGACATTAGAAAGTAACTTTGGGACATTTTTGGGACAAGAGAAAAATAATATCAAAATGGCAGCCCTTCTTTTGTAATATCAGGCACACATCCCGGATTTTGGATCCGGAAAAGTCCCCCAAAAATTTCCTGTCCGGGAGTGAACATAAGTAAAACAAAGTTGACTTCAAGTACGAGTACTACATGAATGGACAGTTGTTAGAAGAATCAACTGAAGAAAAAGATTTGGGAATCTATGTCTGTAATTCATTGAAGCCTTCACTTCATGTGGCATGCTCAGTGAAAAAAGCCAACCGAATGTTGGGATTGATTAAGAGGAATATAAACAACAAATCAGTGGAAGTTGTCACCAGACTGTACAAACAAATGGTGAGGCCACACCTGGAGTATTGCGTCCAGGTGTGGTCCCCATGGCTACAAAAGGATATAGACCGTTTGGAAGCGGTGCAAAGAAGGGCAAGTAGACTCATCCCCAGCTTACGGGGATTGACATACGAGCAACGGCTGAGAAAAATGAAATTAATAACTCTGGCTGTAAGGCGCTTCCGCGGGGATATGCTAGACGTCTTCAAGATTCTCAAGGGAAAGGAAGGAATTCGCATGGAGGATCTATTCACACTAGCAAGTAACCCCTATGCCACAAGGGGCCATCATCTCAAATTGGAATTGCCACTTGCTAAGTTGAATATCAGGAAAAAATTCTTCAGTGTCAGAGTGATCCAGGAATGGCACAAGTTACCACCGGAGACGGTGAATCAGACGTCAGTAAGCAGATTCAAGAGTAGCATCGACGAATACATACGGAAGAAGATGACCATAGGAGCTACTAAGGGCTACCCGCCTTCTGGCTCCTGATTTGCAGAGACGTAGTCTCTGCAATTCAGGTAAATTCAGGTAAATTCAGGTAAATTCAAGTTGAGGTCATACAATACTTCGGGACAGTTGAGATTTATTTTTGGGAACGTGCAGGGACAACAGGAAGAAAAGTTGTTTTCGAGGCCTGAACACTGTTCCGACAACCCACCTTCACAGCCTGGATCTGCCTGGCCACCTCCACTTTCGTTTTCCCCTTGACCGACTTCCCGCCGACGCCCACGATCTCGTCCCCGGACTCCAGCGTGCCTTCCTTTGCGGCGGGAGTGTTGTCGAACACCTGCACGATGTACAGACAGGGACAGAGCGGCGCCCCTCCCCCTATACTGATCCCGATGAGGTTCTGGCTGTCCTTCTGTAGGGTCACACTCCCCGGGATGGCCTGCATCCCCCTAATGAGAGACACAGAAGTCAGGAGTAAGCTTTCATAAGCTGGTTCACAGTACTAGTGTGAAGTGCACATGCACAAGGTCAAAGGTGAATGTGTAGTACGTGATGTACAGGTTTGTTTATGCCTTTAATACTTAGCATAACTGTTTTATCAGGGGCCTTTTATACATTACCCACAATGTATCACATGGCCTATTAAAGACAGTTCAAACCGTGCATGTGCATGATACACTCGATGGAATATCGAAAATGATGGAAAACAGAACCCTGCATAAGATATAATCACCCTTCTTTGAAAGGGCAATGCTGTGCTACTACTAACATATATAAAAGATTACCAATCTCTATATAGCTGTAATATGTACTATCATTCTGACACTATCCACCATAATGGTAATGCCTACTAATGTTTTTTTTTTACATGCAACCATGATGATGAAATAAGATTACAATGTATATTGCATAATATGTAGAATAAAAATACGCAAAATTGGATAGAGATACATCATGCAAAAAACCTAGCCCTGAAAGGAAATATTGTAGCCTAGGCTAGGATTCATCTAAGATGATTTTCGGTATTACAGAAATGAGGTTATCACAACAAAGGGGGAGGGGCGGATAATAAAAAATGCATAAAACAGGTGTCCGAATTCTCTCACAATTTATCCTCTTCCAGCTCGTAGTCCAACATGTTTCCCTCGAAGAAATCCACGATTTTCGATTCCTCAAACTCGTATTGTATCTAAATGTCCAGTTTACTGCTGTCTATTTTGCACGAATCGCCACATATCTCTCACACAACCTGGATCGTAAAAAAATATCGTAACTCCGACTTCGTTTTTCAATCCACGTAGACGACATCTCGCGAGAACTCGCCCGAAATGTCACCTGACAGAAGTCCTATCGTTCCCAGGGCACTAGTTCGAGTCTCGAGCCCAGGTTCTGATTTACGAGTGTATAAAAAAGGTCACCAGGATGTTTGTCACGAATTTACCGACCTGGTAAAAAAACTGGAACATGTGACCTTCAAAGTTGTGCCAAAGTTCATCTTTTTTTGCAAGATCATCACATTTGGAGACAGTCACCCCACGATGACGTAACGCGCAATCACATGACAGCCAATCATAGCGCCGCTGGCGTAGGCTGGTCTGTAGGCGTTGTCCCGATCAGCCAATCACGTTCTAGTAAACAGTCTGCCGCTGTTCTGGATAATGTCGCTGCCCCCCTTTCGGGACAAAGGCTATATTTACGTTTGTTCACAGAATCGTAGTCGTTCTTCAAATTTCCTATCAAATACGGCTGCTATGTATCTATAGCACCTTTTCGAGTATTTCGCGCTACAAATATCGTACTTGAAAGGTTTAGCTACCGATTATAGACTTCTGCAATTATGAAGGTTGGGGGAGTGGAGGAAGTACCCAGTACGGAACTGGTTCCAACTGGTTTTGAGTTGTTCAACTGGGATAAATAACAAGTTGGCCTTTACAGTGTAGAGAGAGAACCTTAGTACTGGCTGCAGTTAACAGCTGTCGCCGCCAACACAAGACTGTGGTTTTCTTAGGAGTAGTGGCTATAGAAACAGGTAAGGGTGCCATTTTTGTGTTCTCTGTTGTTGTCAGCTGAACTGGTGCTATGATCCACATGCAGTCTTCGCCGCGCGCCGAGCCGCGCCGAGCAAAACAACAAGACAGGATGTGCATGAAGGCTTCTCTAAATCCACTAATACGGGCGTAGCTCACGGTATTATACTGTAGTAGGTTGGTGGAGTCGTTCTATGTCCGACTACAATACGGAAACCGCGTTTGTTACTGTTGACAACGTTTTCCATCATACTGCATGGCTAAGATATATGGTTTCTGTTGTTTTTAAAGACCGGACCCCGCCTGTCCAGTTTCTGGGTATTATAAACAAGTTGCCGCCCTAAAACTAGTTTTACGACCATGCCTCACTGTGGTGTTATGCACGTCAACATCTCTGTCGTCCACCCAGAAGTGTATTCACGTGTTTGGTCTTACCTTGTTTTTAGGCGCCAACATTTTAATGGCAGTCATTTGGAAGTCATCAATTATGCACCTGTCACAGTAATGCCTAAGGGGGTTGTCAGAATTAAGGGTTTCAAGAAGGCCATCTTTTTTCACTTTCTCCCAGCAGTCAGACTGTTTCTCCCAGATTGATGTCTGCAAAGGCATAGTTCAGAACTTCTTTAGTTCTTATCATTGCCAAAACAGAGAAAAACAGACAGAACAAGGACATCATGTAGGATGTGTCAACATGTACCGTCCACAAATCATAGATTATTATTAGATAGGTAGGTCATCAAAACATATGCTTGTTGTTGATGATGACCATCTGTAATACTACTTTTTTATATAACTACTTTTATATCGTGAATTCATTTTTATTGCTCAGAATATCAAAATCATGAAATATTATGATCACACACTCACATTCACTCAGAAGTGTTGTATATGTAAACAAATTCTCAGCTTAGAAAAGACTAAGTATATTTTATTTTGCCCAGGAGAGTTGATACTTTGAGATATGCTTTGTCAGACATTTAGTGGATGAAAAAAACTCCTTGGCACAGGCCACTGCCATACACCGACTTGGCCAATGTGTCAAGTAGTTGTCAAGTTGCCATGCCTAGATGAACTCCTATAAATTTTGCCTGCGTCAAGGACTTGGCTGCTCCAAGGACTTGGCAAAGTCCAGTTCAAGGAAGCCCAAGCATCATCATAGTCTTTCCAAGACTTGATCACAGCCAGATGTCCAAATTCTCCATAATCCTATGAGAGTCATGCATCATGGATCATTGGATGAGCTTTGATAACTTGATAAGATGCCAGCCTTGTTAGTTTTAGTCTGCACCCACTGTTGCTGCTGTTGGCAGGGTTGTGACCAGTGGGTGCAGGCTAAAGCTAACAAGGCTGACATCCACCATGTTCTATTAGATAAGGTTATAGGAACAATTACACTGGTAGATCCTGTAAAATAAGGAATGGTCATGGACATTTGTCATTTATCTGTGAGACACCGAAAATTCAAATACTAGTAGATGTGATGATTGTATTCCAGCTCTGTTCCTTCTTACCATATGCTACCGATTAGCGAGCATGAAATCTGATTTGGTCACACTACCAATTTAAAGCAAGGATGCCAACATTTTAGCTATTATATGGCTCTTTTGGTCACTTCTCTGAGTCTGAGCCTATGACCGGAGAATTTTTGGCAGGGAAGTGACCGAGAGAGCATACTGTAGCTAAAAAGGCTTTCGCTTGAAGGCCAATGCCCTTACCGAATCTATTAGTAATTTAACCCATCCAGACCAGTCCAGTTGTGTCTGCCTAAATACTTGTGTGTGTGTTCTCTCACGTTGTTGCCTTGTTGCCAAGCTGCACCCATATGTCAGTATAATACTGTCATGGTTAAGTAACAAACACTATATTCATATGACCCATAGTTACCCCTGCACTTGGCCTGCAGTGTAGCTCACTATGTTTGGATGTACTAGCTGCTGTATATAAAGACTTAGCCTGGGTGCCATCCTGTTTGGTGGGTAGCGACTATTTGAGAGTACGTAAACCAACCAGGATGGTACCCAGGCTAGTCCTGGCCAGCCCGTGAATTTGTTATGTCTTATGGGACCTCTACAGTAACACACAAATATATTTCCTGTATTTAACATGTTATTTACATCATTAAACAGATAATGTCTACGTCACTCGTAAAGGAAAAACGTCACCAGTAATTATACTGCTTGAGGGCATGATAGTTACATGTGCCTCAGCACGTGAGCTCTTCAGTTGCCACCCTGCTGGAGGTACATGTAAATAGATACAGTTGAAGACCATTTGGATTACATCATCAAAACAAATCATTATCATAATTTATGCCATGTCATGAGGTCAGGGGTTAGACCAAATTCTTCCCCATCCCTGCCAGTACCGGTATCACCTATAGGAAGCACAGGTCTATAGCCTGGCTACCTGTGCTTAACTAAAAATTTGCAAATATGAACTCTAAACTGTGGCCAGCAGTTATTATGGTCTTCTGATATCCTGTTGACCCGGATTGTTACTATCCTGATTTTAGCATTTCAATAGGTCCTATGATTTGCAGTATCTGAGCTGGTAGGTAAAAAGGTACAGTTGCACTGGCTGGTCTAGTCTAGTCTGTTGTAGACAAATTGTTTTTCTTTTAGTAGTCTGATTGTATAGTTACCAAATGCTGCCTTCAACCAGGCATATTTATGTAGCAATTCTTTTTTAATTTTCAGGTTTTGGACAGTAGCGTGAGTGAACGGAGGTGTGAGTGTACATCACCAAGGCAGCTAGCCTTTCAAGTGCTGCTGTCACAAACTGGTGCTTAACATCAGGCTAAATGGGTACGTACAGTACATGTATGTCCTTGTTCTTATGAAATTGGACCAATCCCACATTCTTCCTGTGGCCTTTGTTTTGGTGGGAATTACATTGTTTTGGTCAATGCCTTGGGGACTGGAGACACTTAACAAAGGTACTAATAAATTAGTAATTGGCAAATTAATTTAAAAGCACTTGTTGTGATATAATCACAGCCACACAACTTGAAGGAGACAAAGAAATGGGTACCAGATTGTCTTGGCTGGATGAATAATGTATGTCAGACAAACAGGTAAACCAGGTAGTGGTTACCTCTAGCCGTGGCGACTATTGATTCGGGCTTACATTGCATTACCCTCAGCAATAGTCGTGGAAAGATCCATTGGCAGAACTGCACATTTCCCGTTGGCTGCTCGATGCTCCGTTTTTGACCCGGTTTTTTGCTGTCCCGAGCTTCCCTACAATATAACTCCACAATTGGCCGGGTTGCCGATGTTTAGATCAGCCTAAATATTCCACAGCGCGACAGAAAAGTAGTAAAATAGCTAGTCGGCACAAGCTGGCGCCATCTTGGATATAGTCGGGAATGTCCGCTACCGCCGTCGGGAAGGCTCGGTAGCGTCACGATTACCGAAGCCCGACCGAAAGCTCTCCGATTATAACCGGAAAGGCTACCGAGCGTTCCCGACGGCGGTAGCGGACATTCCCGACTATATCCAAGATGGCGCCAGCTTGTGCCGACTAGCTATTTTACTACTTTTCTGTCGCGCTGTGGAATATTTAGGCTGATCTAAACATCGGCAACCCGGCCAATTGTGGAGTTATATTGTAGGGAAGCTCGGGACAGCAAAAAACCGGGTCAAAAACGGAGCATCGAGCAGCCAACGGGAAATGTGCAGTTCTGCCAATGGATCTTTCCACGACTATTGCTGAGGGTAATGCAATGTAAGCCCGAATCAATAGTCGCCACGGCTATGGTTACCTCCAGTGTTTTCATACTGATCCTGTTCAATTGGAATACACAAGAAAGAAAAGGTCTGTTTATAGATAGTTTAGCTATAGTGACTTGCTTATAATATAAAGAACATCAGCAGGTAGAATTGAAATACATACGTACAGTAGTAATATTCTGTAAAAATTATTACAGAAATGACAGGTGCCTTTTGTTGATAATTCACCCATGCAGTACAGTGCAGTAAAAACAATACACAGGTGTATAACAAAAATGTACACAATGTAAAGATATTTGGGAAACTGAAATGGTGCAAGGCTGCAAGCGCCCAAATAAACAAGCATTGGAAACATTTGCAGTCATCTCTATAGTCCATAATACACAGTCACATTATAGTTTTGACCTTAAGACTAGCCCAGTAAGGTCTTTCTTGTTATGACAGTGACCGATGAACAAAACGTCAGAAGGACATGAATTAATGATGCGAGTCATGGGATTATCATGTGTGTGTCTGGTCTTTGTTAAAAAAAAACTGGAAAAGAGCCAAGTATGCGCTATCACTCTGTTGATGGTTTCAATTCATCATTGAGATTTTTAAGTCCCTGTGATGTACTATTTTGTTGACACCTGTTCCTGTATACATCTCAATAAGAATGCACCTGTGCATAGAGTTGGGATCTCATTCTATTATCATTGTAATGATATAGATTATATCAAAATCCAGCCTGGATTTTCTGTTAGAAACATGACAACAGTTCTAGCACGCCCGCCAACCATAAAGTGGCCATTAGCATAAATCATTCGGTGAAAACGTTCAGGAGTACAGGGTTTATTATGCACAGCGGTGCCTGACAGGAACATTATGATAGTAATATTCCCAGGGCAACCCTCTGTAGTGATGACCTTGCAAGCTACGGCATAATAGCCGTTCCTGGCACTGGCGTACGTGCAACTCCATTATTCAGGGGGCAGGCATGTGACACGGAGGTGGTAACACCGGCTAGAACCTGTTCACTAGGCAGGGGGATATATACAGGGTTATCACTGCTGTTATCACAACTGACCATGGCTCACTACTGTCTCACCACAGCGCTAACCCAGAACATGCCTTGCTGGATCGAGGACGACCAGGACTTTAAACCAGAGAACTGGAGATGGGACGTGAACAACAAATCCCCGGAGGTGCAGCTATCTTCCTGCCAGTTGGCGGCATATTTCCACGTCGACCCGGTGGACTCGAGCATCGGGACGGCGGGGGTGCGGGGGACCAAGGGGTTCACGACGGGCGAGCACTACTGGGAGGTGATCTTCCTGGAGCCGCCCCACGGGACGTCCGTCATGGTGGGGGTGGGGACGAAGAAAGCTCTGCTACACCTGGGCAACTATCAGTACATCAACCTGTTAGGTCAGTCTATTCTTCATACTTCTTTTCAGAGTAATCACAATTGTATGGAAGTGTCTTAAGAATAAGGAATTGATACAGAGGTCAGTCCTTTGATTTGAACTACAATAGAAACAAGAAAGAAAGCAATTATCTACAATTTCGGGTGAACAGTTGTAAACAGGTGGTTGGAAAATATGTAAAATCCCAGAAATGTTTTACTCTTATTTTGTCAATACCATAGGCAAATTTTGAAACAAACGATTGGAACGAAAAAAATTTTATTGGTTAAAAGCAACACTCCTTTTACTAGTTTTAGAATTTTATCCAAGAAGTGGTTGTAGACAAAGTGTGGGAAATCTGGCGACTTATGTAACGAGAACCACAGGCCTAGTATTTATACATTCTGGCAGTTCCGGCCTTTGTTATTTGTTCCGTCTGGCTTGGCTCCCACAGAATGCTGATTCTGCTAGATACTGAACAAACATCTCCTTGGCTGACCTTGATCCCTGCATGGCCTCCGGTTTCCTCTGTTGTTCCAAAGTCCAGATGAAAGACATAGTTAAGATTGACAGCCAACCTTTGAGCCTGCTTTTATGTGTGCACGCGTTATGAAAGGTCATGTTTTCAGCAAAGGCTTGCAAAGAATCTTTTGATTGGGGTTCCTCAGCTGTGTCTGTGTTTCATGAAAAGAGTAATTAGGTGCAAATTGATCATTTCTTGGTGAATTTTAGAAAGCTTCACTCGTAGTGGCATGTCCGTTCAGGTTTTGCTCTTTATCCAGATGGTACAAATGCCTCTGCACAACTCATTTAGCACGGCCAGGCAGAAGCAATTTGTATTCTCCTTCTGCGAGACAGTTCATGAATCTTTCATAAAGCCAGGCGTGTACGTGGTATTCAGAGCGTAGGTATTATTGATTCGGGTTGGCTGCGAGTAATTTATCTTCTAGTGTTTCTCTCATTATCGGCCTTCCAGAATACCCACCGAGGGCATTCAACCAGGGGAAAAAAGTAATCAGTGGAATGCAGTGAGATTCAAGCAATTAGAATCCAACAGAGTAGGGGGAGGGGCACTATTTGTCACGCAGCAGGTACATAGCAAATGGTTGGATGGACTGACAATAAAATGAGTTGTCTTTCGAGAATTATTTTTGGAATTATTTTTTTACAATTGGTTGGTGGGGCCTAAAAAAATTGAATCATTAAATAGTTGTAGTCATAACTAATGAGAAAGAACATCCACATCTTCATTTTGGGAAGTCTTTTTAATGTGTGGAGTAGTCCTATTTGCAACCATGTAAGAAGGCAGCAATACCTTTTTTTTTAGTGTTTGCCACTTGTAGTAAACAATTGATGTTGTTGTTCCCCCCTCAGGTCGTGATGAAGAGAGCTGGGGACTGTCGTACAAGGGAACCACCTGGCACAACGGCAAGTACCAGCAGTACACAGAGCCGTTCTACGACCAAACCACCGTGATCGGCGTCCACCTCAACTTGTACAACGGGACTCTGACGTACTACAGAAACGGGAAGTCACTCGGCGTGGCTTTCCGCGCCATCAACAGAGGGGAGGAGCTGTATCCGATCATCTGTTCCACCGCGGCCGAGACCGAGATGGAACTCGGGATGCGCAGCTGCCGGTTCAACTCTCTGCAGGAGAAGTGCTGTTTCACCATCATGCAGGCCATGAAGGGGAAACAAGCCGTGGACAAGCTGCCCCTCCCCACAGTCATCAAGAGCAGGCTGAAGGAGCAGTACTAAAAGTAGAAACTTCTCCAGATGAAGTGGAAATCTGCCACAGGTGGAAAAGTCTCATGTTATAACTGTAGCAGCTCACATTTTCAAGAAAATGCCTGCAGCAGCTGTTTAATTAGTGGCAGTCATTTCAATTTGAATAATGTACATGTATACCTCAATAAAAGGCACGAGTATTCAAATGTTATTGTTCCCAGTCCGTCCTGCTAAAAGAATTAGAATTGTAAATTGTTGCAGTTGGGGACTGGCCAGATATGCAAATGAAATGGTCAAGAGTTTGCAGCTACAAATGTCTACAGGTGTCTAGCCTGAGACCCAGCCTTGTTTGGTTTATAAGGAGGGATATGGGGTGCATTAATAGACAAGAGCTTAACAAGACTGGGTTTCAGGTTAAACTAGCCCTTCTGGGCTTGGATGACAACTTTGAATGTCATGATCAGTGCAATGACACAAGTGAATTGTTTGTTTTGTAACAGTTACTGTGGCCAGGATGTTATAAAGGATATTGCAGGAACTCCTTTATTTGCCCACCAAAATAGTTTAAGCATCATTTTCAAGTCAAATGCAGTGCCTTCCTTGTAAATGTTCATTTAAGAAGAATGCAGATGGTTACGATTTCACAAATATGTTATGATAATTTTACAGTACCATCTCTGCACTATAAGTGAAACCACTGATTCCAGTGTGTCAAAGGATCGATGTCACTTCTTTAAGGAGATACCTATATTTACCTCTGGCAGGTGTGTGTAATTCAAGAAGGCAAGAGAACTATTTTGCCAGAGAGAAAGAGTAAAATGTATTTGCAACAGGTATTTTTTTCCTGTGTACAGTGAAGACTGTGAAGGAAGTCTATGTACATGTAAAAAAAGTATACAACACAAAATTAATGTGAAAAGAGAAAATGCTGTGTAGTTTCAGCGATGTATATTCAAGACGTGTAGATATTCATAGATAGTGTTGTATTATGTTGTATTAAAATGTATTGTCTTATATAGGATACAGATCAGCATTGACATTGTAAGATTGATGATATTTGCCACAGTCATAAAAAGGAATATTGACATGAATGCTGATATTTGGCTGGCTGAGTTGTTCTAAACTCTACTACATGTGATAAAACCTTGCTAAATGCAATGCCCTCTGGTGAAATGGCAAAATATATTACATTAATATTAATAAACAGTGCACTTACTGCAGCTTAGCATTACATTGTGTAATGTGTTTTGCTGGTGTTGCTCAGCATAATATAAAAAAAGCAGCTGGTGTGATATTTTAAAGCAGTCAATATGATATTTTCCACTACAGCAAGTGCTCTTCCATGTTGTCTCAGGATTTTAAAGTGTAACTCAGCTTGTTATATGACCTACATGTGGCTACCTTTAAATGTCATAGATAGGCAGTGTAGATATATAGCTGGCCATTCAGAAAGTATGGTTCCCAAAATGACATGTAACTTTTTTACACTGAATGTACGCAAAGCCTTGAACCTTACGGTGTAACCAAAAATCAGGCAAGCTGATTGATTACATTCTGTAGATTAGAAATTACATGTCAGAATTTTTGTTGATAAGCTCAAAGCTATCTATGTCCTTACGTGCAATTTGATTGGCACATCATATTGTAACCTTATTCCTCATTGGTCAGCCATAAAATAACCACATTTTGCATGTACCACACAAATGTCCTTGAAAGCAGGCACACATTGCTTACATGTATGTCTGTAGGACCAAATGATGAGAGACAGCTACATGTATGTATGTACGCAAAGCCAATAAACAAAGAATATGGAGGACATCTACGTGAAAGTAATCTTTGTGCTGCAGATAATTGCCTTGCTAATAATAAGGATGCTATCAATGTTTGTACTTTTATATTGCCCTGTGGTAATGACACGTCTACAACACTTAAGCACAAAAGATAGAACCTAAATGGCTCCTTTACATGGATACTGGCTCTGAACTCAATGCCATTTTCTACGACCCTGTACAGGGGCAGTAAGATACTGTATACTACTGTATACTGTTTTTATCATATATTTTATTGGGCAGTATCTGCAGTCTTTATGTAATTTACCATTACTTCTAGGATGACCCTTATTCATAATGTTCCTTTATATTGAATTCTTAGGATGTACAGACTTGTATTATATGTATATGTAGTGTTATATGATTGTGCTGTACATTCTCTGTAATTATAGTGAAATTCTTGAGCCATGATTATAATAAAAGATCATTAACTGAACAGTTTTTGTGCTAGTGGTCTTTGAAAGTTTTTTTACAGTTGCCATGTACATTTATAACTTATTGGATAAAAAGACATTAGCATGTTAAATGCATTACAACTACCAACCAATCATAGCACTAAAATCTTGTTTTAACAAAGCAGTATCTAAGAATGAGAGAAATTGGTATTAGCAAGAAAAAAGTACTGGAGAAAAAATCACCAAAGAACTTCAGTTCTTGGAATCAAATAAAACTTTATTACACACTTTAATAGAAACCTGTATTTCTGCATTTAAAGGGACAAAAAAGCAATTCCATTGAAATATACTAAACAGGATGGTGAGATTGAGTGCCTAAAAGTTGGATGTTGCCCAAACAAAATTCTTGCGTGCCAGATTTTCATGTCAAACAAACACACTGTTGTTGCTATAAAAACATTGTGCAAAAACACTGAAAGAGTGTAAATGAGGACAAGTCAAACAAAAGCCAACAAGTGAGCAACTATGTTACATTCAAACAAAAATAGAATTTCATATAACCGTAACATCTAAAGCTCAAAAAAAGTAAAATGACACATTTTAAAATGGCTCGTCTAACATTTTTAGAAATAGAACAGCATCAACTAGCTATGAGTATGAAACCAAAACATAAGCACCAGTTGAATTTTTAACATACCTGCAACAATGAACACCAAAAACTCTTAACTTGTAGTAGCAAGCAGGGATTTGATCAAATTAAAAACAGCACTCTCAAATCCTTAGAAACTAGAAACGTTATAACGTTAAATTTGTATTCATTTTAACTTTTACATGCTTCCAATTTGGTTCTCAGAATGACTATATTAAATTTGATTATTAACATGAAAACTGAGTCTGAAATGGAAAAACTACCTTGGCATACACAGAGTGTTGTCAGATCGAAATTTTGCTCCCAGTCCCGTTTTTATTCTATTCTGACATGTTGAATTTTCAATTTAGAATGCCTGAGAACCCTTCAGTATCTTAAGATTGCGGAGGTAGGTCATCAGTCATGTAAATGACACCAAGAGTGTTGGAAAAGAAATCCTTCTCATCCTGGTCATTTACTGTCCATACCAGCATCCGGCATCCTCTGTCAGCCCAGAACTTCACATACTCTCTGGAGCAGAATAAAGACAAAGTTGTAACATTCAACAACAGTCAGTAGTGTTAGATGAAAAGCTATCAAGCAAAGCTATTAAACATGAAAGCAACTGTACACAAATTATCATTACTATACAAGCAAGTAGATACAAACACACAGACACTTAAAATACTAAGACTCAACCTTTTCAATGGCAACAAGCTTTTTTTGAATTTGATTTAAAAAATGGTTAAGAGAAATGATCACAAATGTGCCTGAACCTGAATTGTAAAGAATATTTATCATTTTTATTCCTTTGATATTTTTCACTATGAAAATTTCCAATAACTCACCTGGATATACAATGGTTGTTAATGTTGACAGCTGAGACGCCCTCTATGTACCACAGCCAGTAGTGCAGGACATATTCAAACACGACGTCCAGGACACTGTGCATGACGTGTTTCCAGGTCTGGGTGTAGCGGGGCTCTCCATCAACACTGACATAGCTGATGACTCTGGGTCTCCAGGTCAGGGCTGTGACTATGGCTGGATCTTCAGATCGGATCTATGTACACACAAACACGTCATCAATTCATTGTTTATTTCAGGTGTGTGGCCTATATCATAACATAATAAAAAAGACATACAAGTACCTACAGATACATATAAAACACACAATAGTGGTAAGGATTGATTATGCTGACAGACTAACACAGTTGATGTAACTAGTAATGCCAGAAGTTACTGTGAGTGAGTGAGTGAGTGAGTGAGTGAGTGAGTGAGTGAGTGAGTGAGTGAGTGAGTGAGTGAGTGAGTGAGTGAGTGAGTGAGTGAGTGAGTGAGTGAGTGAGTGAGTGAGTGAGTGAAACTTAAGCTAGCACTGGTAGATTTCTGGACTACAAATGAATGAATGAATGAACAAAACTGTAAATTTAGCTAGCACCAGTTCACTGAATATAAGATTTTCCGGACTACTCCTGACCTTGTAGATGACCTCTGGTAGAAAGGAAACGACCACAGCAGACTGGTACAGGCCTGGGTACTTCTGGAACAATGTGTGCAGAGTTTCTGCAGACTAAAGACAAGAGACATGTTGTCAGGTTATACTCAGGGTTCGTCGGTGAAGGTTAGACATCCAGATAATAAACAGTTACTGAAGCAACTGGATATATATTTTTTTTGCTTTTCTGACAACTCTCCAATGTCACTGACAAAAGGTAGTGAATGCTACCTGAAACGTCTGACCGTTTCAAAAATCATATCCAGTTGCTTGAGTAACTGTTTTTTTAGCATACACTCAGGGTTCCTTCAAGAAAGCATCTCTCTCAGTCCTGAGGAGATTTACGACTATTCAAAGAGTTGGACAAGAGAAAAATTTTTAACTCTCAACAGCTGTGTTATACTTTAATTAATTAACAGTGCTCACATTGTCTGGTAGCCTCTTGACATCTATGTACATGACCATGCCAAGCTGCAGGGATTCTTTCACTGCCTCCTCCAGTGTGGGTATCCTTTCTCCTTTGAACTTTGAACTAGATAGATGAGAAATATCATCATTCAATAGAACAACAATTACATGTACAGTTAATGTCATCGTGAGTACTGTGTGTGTTTTTGGTGACACCTCAGGGGTGGAGGTATTTTCTACAGTACTACGATAGGTCGATCCCTTTGAAAGAATTTTAAACATTTCACGAATGCGTTACCTAGGGAATTGGTTTTGAGGTAGCCTTCAGCCACGTGGCCTTAAACAGTTAAAGCAGAAAAGACAGCATTTTGGGACAAACTAAGGAAGGGTACAAGTGGGGAGGGGGAAGATTTGAGGAAAGGTACGAGGGGGGGAGAGATTTGAGGAAGGGTACTAGTGGGGGAGGCCAAGGGGGTATCACTTGTACTTCAACATTGACTTACGCCTCTGGGTGTTTAGCAGCAGCATCCAGTTGCTGAACCTCAGCAAATGTGAGGTCCTTGATGTTCCCTGTCCCATCAGTGGTACGGTCCACTGTGTCATCATGTAGGAGGATTGGAACCCCGTCCTTGGTGTACTCAAGGTCAAATTCAACGCTGTCAGCTCCGTTCTTCTTAGCCTGGAGAGATACAACAATAGATTAAACATGGTTAAGCTTCAAACTTTTGATCATTTGACCAAAGCTCTGGGGACATAATCTCTGAACAATGATCAACCAACCAACAGAAGAAATAAACAATTTATGTATCAAAATATTTCGTAACACACCAATTGCACTGTGTCTGACCTTATGACCTGACTTTTTGCTCCACCCACAAACAGCCACCCAGCTGAGCGACAGTAGTAAGTGGGTAGAGCAAAAAGTCAGGGCAAAAGGTCAGACACAGTGCGATTGGTGTGAAGTTGAAGGTCACGACATAAATCCAAACAAGAATGAGCCTTTAGTTCAAGGCCTTACCGTCCGGATGGCTGCGATGGTGTTCTCGGGAGCCTGACGACTGGCGCCCCGGTGGCCGACCACGCGAGACCGCCCCAGCACCGCCTCCACCGCCTTCTCACTCACCGGAGCGATGCGGAAATGATACACACACGCGCCGAGGAAGGCTAGCGCGAGCACGGATGTCTGAAGGTTGCGTGTGATCGCCAAGAGCACGAGGAAGACGCCGAAGACTTGAGGACCAAGGACGACCAGAAGACGGACCGGCATCTTGCCGATCAGCTGGCTGGCACGTCACCACCACAACATTGCCTGTGCGCACGCGCCAAAAGGTTAAGATGAGGTCAACCATCATGGCAGACATTGCAACACATGTTGAAATCTTCCGACTCGGCGGTTTTTGACAGCATTTTTAAAGCTTCACAGTGTCTAGAAGCTTCAAAAGGACTTAGACACACTACCGGACTAGACGTTGAACAAAGAGAGCCAGAGTACTCCACCCACAAGCCGTACAGCGAGGACAAATCCAGGCTAAAAATGGAGGAAGAAGAAGCAGAATACGATCCCGAGTGGGAGGGGGGCGACTACGTCTGTAAATACGAGTATCTGGACCACACAGCCGACGTACAGCTTCACTCCTGGGGGGAAGACCTGAAGGAAGCGTTTGAACAGTGTGCCGTGGGCATGTTTGGTTACATGACGGAGATAGAAACCGTCGAGCCCTTGGACACCCACGAGATAGAAGCAGAAGGGGACGACATGGAATCTTTGCTCTACCAGTTCCTGGACGAGTGGCTGTTTGCCTTCAGTGCAGAACCGTTCTTCATCGCCAGGGACGTGAAGATTGTGGAGTTTGACAGGGAAAACTTCAAAATCAAGTCTGTCGGATACGGGGAGACATTTGACCTCAGCAAGCATCCGCAGGGAACTGAAGTGAAGGCGATCACTTATTCGGCAATGCAGATTCACGAAGAAGTGGAGACCAATGATGTTTATGTGGTTCTTGATATCTGAAGCCTTTTTATCTCCAACACAACGTGCCTGACTGTGTCAAAGCTACTCTTCTCCAAAACATTTTTCTATTATTGCTGTCTTTAATGCAAGGTTTTACCATGGAGTTAAAATACAGAAACTAATATTTTCTTATTGGAAGTCATTCTTGAATATATTGATCCGACTGTACATTTGTCCAAGCAAGACATCTTAAAGTTAAACCTCCTTGGTCCAAGTGAGACTTTTTCATAACAGGATAGCACTAAATGTGCCAAAGCAGTGTTACTTCTTACCATTAAGACCTAAAGAAAATATGCTCAACACCTTTTATATAGATTCTGTAAGACATATGTTCCAACTATGTAAATTGTTTGAACATTTAAGTGCATACTATTATACTGCTGCTGAATAAAAGAAAGACTTTCTTTATAAATCATGTATGCATCAGTTTTCTTCATTTCATCCTAAATGCATTGTAGGACAGTAGCCAGTGTCCCTGGTGCGCAACAACATACACATGTCCATTGATGGCAGCTGTCCCAGGTGCTGAAAAGCATTCACATCAACAGCCAAATAAACATGAATGTTAACTTCTTGCAAAGCTGTCACTCATCAAATGGATGATAGCAGACATAAGACATGGTCACAGATCGTTGAAGAGATTCATCAGTCACGTATAGTACAAGTTCAGTAAGATAATTCTTTCAATCAGTGACTATTAAATCCTATGGTCACAGATGTTTTATTTCAACAATGTCATGTACATCTTTGATATACAAAAATTGTATAGTCTGGTCTGTTTTAAGGTACTCCAAGGTCATTCCATCACCAAGTTCCAGTAAGCTAGGCGAAGTTCAAAGAATAATGTGTACTTAAATACATATAACGTTACAGGTGACCCAAGTAAGTGAAACTGAGTTCACAAAAGCTTATTTCACAATGATATTATTATAAAAAGAAACAAAAGACAGTCATCCCATGAAGTTTTTCTTACATTATTTTCTTGTTAGCACAGATACTGTCACAGAAAATATCATATAAAAACTGCATTGCAGTACAACTACAGTACAATTGTTGACACCTGTATAAAAAAGATTCTCCTGATCAGTTGTCATGATCTTGGCAGCTCAAACGCACACAGGTTCTTGTACTTCTTCAGTAAGTCTGTTTTTGTGGTGACCTGTTGTCTGAGCTGTTCTATCTGCTGTTTCTGTTCCTCTTCACTGCAGTCAATACCTGTGATAAAAAAGTGAATTTTGGTCATCAGCCCTTAAGTGACAGGAAAGAAAGCAGGAGCTTGCAAAGTCCTAATGAATTTTGCTGAGCCCATTAGGTTTTATGAATAACCCACATCACTGATATTTTACATTCACATAATACTGATCATTGCAATTTTAATTTAAGTATTTAATTTGTGTACAACTGAACCTCTTTAATTTTTACATGATTCTATTATAAGTTGTAAGTACTTGTTTTTCTGATGTGATAATGATGATTATGATACGTGTAACTGTGTAGTAGGAATGGACATTTAAAAATGCCAAATTATATGATTTAAAAAGTACCTGGCATCTCTTCCACCATTGTCCGACATTTCTGGAATTTTGTTTTCAGCTCTGTGATCTTCTGGTTGACATCTGGAGATTCCATGTCCATCCTAGACAAAGAAGACGAAAGGGAACAACGTAAGGTTAGGCACCATTCAAGGATTTATTCCACAGCGTTGAGGCTAAAGGAGTGTTTTTGAGATTATGCATATTCTCAACAAATAAATCAGCCTCGGAAGTGTTTTACATACCCTCGAATTATCTCATGAACCAACGGAAGAAAGGACATATCATTTCCCGTTCCCGCCTGCGACGCCATTCCTGTTTGTGTGATACAAAAGCTGTCTATAATTTATTCTACCAGGTGCCTGTTTATTTCATAGTTTGAAAAATTCAATTTTTTAGTTTCATATGAGCTATTCATTTATGTAAAACAATATCAAGATAGTACATAGGAATTAGTGAAATTTCAAAAGGATAAAAAGACTAAAAACCTGTTTGAATCGTAATGTTTGCGAAGGATCATTTCCTTTCAACACTAGACAGCTTTGTGACCTTTGACCAACCAAGATGGCGGCTTATCAGTGGTTTGTTTCTCGATTTTGTCAAATTTTTCCTTTCTTCAAGGTTTATGTTAGGTGTATTGCCTAATGTGTAGAATAGAAGTTTTTTTAATGATCTTAAGTACTTGTTTTGAATCTATTTAGCATGTCTGGTGCCAGAGATAGCAACAAAAGTAGACGTTTTGCAAAATAACTCTGAGCCCCTCCCCCTATAGTTTCCGGACTATCCTACTTCATTTTGTTACCTCTCTAAATACCAGCATACGTGAATCTTTACACTCATATGTAGCCTTGGTCTCTGACTGTTTCACATGTAGAATGAGAAAACGCATGACAGAGCTTATATATGGATTTGTACATGGTTTAGAAATTGTATTTTACAGGCTTTGATCAGAAAAAATCTGGAACTTCCTAAACATATAAATTATACAGTACATAAGTTATAGTACAAACAAAAGTGAAACGTTGTCATATAATTCAGACACACTACAATGACTGCAGAACATGTAACCTTGCAATGTATACTATATACTATATACTGTAGTTTTAGAGCTGTTACCTAACAGCATACATTAAGAAGTTTATAGGAATATGATTTATAACCTTAAATCTTTCTTAAGGGTCCCTCGTATGAGGGATTACACAAGTGAGAAGAAGGAGGAAGCCTGCGGTAGGGAGACAACTGATTATCATCCTCTCAAACCAATGACTGTAACAGTAAGTCACAATTTGTATACTCAACTTTTATAGTGTACATCAACAGTGTATGGCTATGAGTATGAGTATGAACCAAAAAAAATTGTACAATTGGTTTTCTAACATTGACATTGAAAATGAAAGGTTTACTTTTTTAAACTGTATTGTATAAGTTGATATATAGATATCACTGAAGTAAAAAAAAAGATAATCCCTACCTACCGACCCTAATTTTTTCAGAACTGAAACAGGAAACACAACTTTTTTTTCCCTAGGCCTTAGGATCTACTAGGAAATATGTATATGTATGTACTGTGTATGTGTTGTACTACATGTACATGTAAGAATACATTCTGTAAAAGTGAAAATTAAAATGTACAACAAATGTGTATGAAGTACCAATACATGTTAATCAAAAGTGTGTTTCTCCCCCCAGGTCACAGAATCGAAGGCTAAGAAGACAGGTGGGAAAGCAGAAACAGAGTTTGTTGACCCCTTGTCCTCCTCCCTGGATGGTACAGACCCTCTGTCTATGTTTGCTGCAGAAAACGTTGTTATGGACCCTCTCAGCATGGCACCCAAGAGGGACAGGGTAAGACTTCAGGTCTATTTTACATTTTTTTAACCTTTTCCCTGATATCTAACCCCATAACCAATAGCAAATCAGTCTACTCCAGTCCGCTAGAGGTTAGGCCAAACCAAATTAATTTGTTGGTTCTCGGATTTCTGATTTGCAAAAAAAAAGATTCTGGTTCTGAATTAACCCCCAACAGTTGAGGAAAGTCCTTTTCTTCCTAGTTGTTACAGTTTTTCCATCTGTCACTGGAGTGGTTTGTTTAAAAGTTCAAAATTCATTGTTTAGATATCAACCCAGCCTTTTGTGTCGACTTCATGGCTCTTATTGTAGCATTTGGGGCTAGATGGGATGCCTACACCTATTTTTATATTTTTTTTGCCCTGTCGCTTCACATTTTTTCTGAAAAAATCTGAGAAACAAAAATTTAATTGGTGTGGCCTTAAGTTGTCATTGAATGTATTGCAATTTCCAGATAGGACCTATATGAGATTCAAAATTTTCAGCCAACAAGTTCCGGTTAACATTCCTACATCCATGTATTTTGTTCTTTTGTGTACTTTCAGGCTGAATCAGGTTCAAAGGCCAAGCCAGGGAAGAAGTCTTCTCTTGATGAGTCATTTGAGCCGTGGTCGACAAAGAAGGCTAACATCCTGAGCAAGTACACAACCTCGGAGAGACTCTCCATCACTACGGTAAGTGAAAACTCAAACCCTATGCTTTTTTTAATGTCCATAAATGATATTTAGTGTTCATATTATTGAACTGGTATGAATCTTGCAACAGCATTGTTATTTTTTTCTTTCATCTAAAACCTTCATTTTAAAATCATGTTTTGTATTTTAGTAGCTTCAGGATAACCATACAAACACACGTTTGGTTATGTATACAATGTATTTTGTGTATAGGGCAGGAAAATAATGTTTGTGTTGTATGTATATATACATGTATATATTATTCTGTTTGAGTAAGGTACATTGTACCAGTACTTTGTAGTATGAGTGCTTGATAGTAAGAGAAAAGGATGGTTTGAACAAACCTTCTTGTAATAAAGCAATTTCTCTTTTTTTTTACAACTTTCAGAGCTTCTTGTCTCCATCCGATAGGGAAAAAGGTGAGAACTTTATAGTTTAAACAAGGACATTATACAGAATGTCCTTGGTTTGAACAAGTCATAATCAGTACAACAAAGTAACATCAATCATAATATTTTTTACATCCATATACTAGTACATGTACATGTAGTGGAAACTTTGATTTTAGTTCCTCAAACAAGATGCTGCCTATTCAGGTACATATATGATATAATAAGTGACATCTTTCATGATTCAGATTTTTCAATGATTTCTTGAATATAATATTGGGAAAATGTGGCAGTAGGTCAATAGTACATGTTGATTTTTCAGCCAGTCTCAACAAATTCATGTTTTATCTGAATGGATTTGGGTTTAGCTCTTGTGTCTTTTGATATACATTTTGTACCATTGTGTCCCACTATTTACAGTGGCAGTGAAGACCCAGGTCCAGACAACTATGACAGACAAGGTCAAGAACAGACTGGAGCAACTGGATGACTTTGAGGAGGTAAGAATTGTTTGATGCTTCCCTAAACTTGAGACAGTTTTCAATGTTGCCCACACCAGTGCAGGTAGTGTTTTTTTCTTCTTTCTTTCATTTGTTTCATTTTATTAATATTTAACAGGTGACTACCACCGCTTCAAGATGTCAAACCTGAGACCAGACTGTAAGGTTTGAACTGCTCACACCCGGAAGAAACCCTGCACTTTTTGATAAGTGTGGTGGGATCTTTAACGTACTTACGGTGTGGCTTTCCCCAACACGGGACCTCTGGCTTTATGTATTATCCGATAGGACGTCCCTCGCTGATGCTAATTACTCATTTTACACCTGAGTGAAGTGAGGAAAGTCGTGTAAAGTGCCTTTCCCAAGGACACATGATCGGTGATATGGCAGGATTGGAACCCGAGACCTTTTGGTTCCAAGTCGAACATGCTACCTTTAAGCCACACGACCGCACAGGTGTGCCTATTTTGAGCCCTGTGAATCCTGTTCCTGTAGGGTTCTGTGAAGGAGATGTTGAACCTGAGTCAGCAGGACTATGTCAACAGGATTGAGGAACTGAACCAGGCTCTCATCAGCGCCTGGGAACAGGACCAGAGAGTCAAGGCACTCAAGATCGCTATACAGGTTAGTAGGCATCTACATCTTGTACAAAATGTACAATGTGTAGTGTCACAAAATCATTTTTGGCAGTGCCTCAGGAGTGGAGCCAATGATACAGTTTCTTTCGTATTCCAGTTTCATGCTGTGCCCTTACATATCTTTGCCTCGAAAAATATAAAACGCAGGGTCGGAAAAATGCTGTTATAGTCATGCTTCAATGATTTTATGCTGTAAGTCTGTTCAGATTTTTCTTCACTCACACTCACTATCCAGGATTTGATTATTCTGCTGCTGGTGTCCCTGCCGCGGGGGTTTCAGCTAGTTCAGCTAGTAGTACTGGTCTTCTCCCGCACTGTCAAGATTTATCTTGCTTGTGTTATTTACTTTAAATGTAAACCAACATTGTACATAAAATGTATGACACCTTGTATTTTGTTTCCAGTGTTCCAAGCTGCTGGTAGACATCTCTGTGATCCAGTTTTACCCCAGCAAGTTTGTCCTCGTTACTGACATCCTGGACACTTTTGGTAAGGGCAGTTTCTCGGTGTGGTCTTCATACTACTTCAGGTGTATAAATGACCAGGATTCATTACAATTGTTAATCTCTTATCCTATCTCTCACCACAGGTAACCTGGTGTACGAGAGGATCCGACAGAAATCTGCATATTTCCCACCTGGCAGTAAGGTGCCACAGATGCTCCCAGGTAGGGACATCTTTACATAGTTTCAATCAACTTCAAATGTTTTCCTATTTTTCTGTGTTAAACAAATGTACATTTGTACAAGTGTAAGTAAAAGTGTAAAAGAATTTAAGTGGCAATTGTCTCTGAACAGTTTTTAGGCTGATCCATACTTCCTAAATTCTAACTGGTACAGGTAAAATTTGTCTGGTGCAGATATTTTTAAGTGTTACATTTCATTTCATTCATTACATGCACCAGTACAGGTGTACATGTATATGCAGAAAGAAGTATTCTGAGCCCTGTATTGTATTTTTCTCTTTGGATAGCTAACATGCATCAAATTATAACTGAATTTACATGTAGTACTGAGTAATATCTTAAATTGGATTTTTCTTCTATGTTATGTTATATTTAGTATTTCTAGACGATGTAGAGATACATGTACATTTGGTTCTTTTGCCTCCTTAGTTTGACTAAACAACATGTTTATCATCTACATTTTTCACCTACAGAGGATTTCACCCCAGAACAAGTGCCTGACTCTGCCAAGGAAACCTGTAGAAACTGGTTCTATAAGATTGCGTCCATCCGTGAACTGATCCCCAGACTGTACGTAGAGACGGCCATTCTTAAATGCTACAGCTTCC